CTTCCCTGGCTGTCCAGTGGTTAAGACTCCACATTTCCAGTGCAGAAGGCGTAGATTCAATCCCCAGTCAGGGAGCTAAGATCCTACGTGCTGTATGGTATGGCCAAAAAAATAAAAGCTTTTTATAAAAGCTGCCTTCCACATAGCTTGAAAGGAATTGCTCAAAGCAAAGAAGAAAGAATCATCATCATGAGAAAGCCTGGTGGGTGATTCCTGTTTTCCAGCCATGACTGCGATGGTCATTTTCAAGAAACATAGACCTTCCTTCCCTATTCATCCCATCTCAGATATTACTGCCTTCTCTCGAGATACCATATTTTGAAATTTATTTCAAGATGCATGTTCTGTCTCTAAGAAAGCAGCAAGGCCTCACTTTTTAAAATGTCTGTGTTCATCCTGGAGACAACACTCTGACTTTCCTTCATGACTCCCTAAACTCGCAGCCCTCATCCCACACTTCAGGGTAGACAAGATGAGCCCATGGTCATAATCTAGGATTCTGAGAAATGTTCTTAAGCATGGTATCTCTAAAAGTGATCCTTTAGAAGCCAACCAGGAGCTACTTTTGAGAGCTGCTTAATACAGATTTTAAGCATTTTACCCCTGTGTTAAGAAAGATAAATCAAATTGTCTAAAGAGGATTTAAGTAGGGTGTTGCTGTAGGAAGTTTAGGCTTGCAGGTATGGACTTTGATTCTGATATCTTATTGTTTTGTGACGGAAAATATAAGTAATTTCATGTGTGATTTAACCACCAAAATAAGTACCTAACCACATTGCCTCATCTCATGACTTTGGCTAGGGGGCAGTTACATTCACTCTTAGAAGCCCATTCATTTTGTGTTCCCCAGTTCTTTAAAGCTTTATTGTGTACCTGCTGTGTGCCAAACATTATGCAGAGACTGGCAGAGAGCAGGATTCAGGTTCCTTGAGAGTTCAGTATATAGTGTGGCCCAGAAGTGCCATAGAGGATCACGGGCTATCAGAGGAGACTTCCTGGAGTTGATGCCTAACTTGGGCTCCAGAAAAGAAGGAGTTCACCAGATGAAGGATTGGAGGGAGGCTTAGCTTTTGTGGTTGTGCGTAGCAGCTCTGGCATGAGCAGAGAGACACAGGGTTGAGAAACAGCCTGGACTGTGTCGGGAGCCACCAGACTAATGGAGCTGGAGAAGGGGCAGATTCCTGGCCTGCAGTACTGAGGAGCTTGACCTTTATCCTTTTGGGGTGAGGGCAATATGGAAGGGTTTTTCATTAGGAGACTGACATGATCAGATTGTGGCAGAATTATTTTGCCAGCAGGGTTAGACATAGATTGAAGAAGGCAGGAAGAGCAGCCAGGGGGGCGTTCACATCTTGGTAAAAAGATCTAAGCCACTGCCACCTTGCCTCACCCTTCCCTGCTTTACGTGTTTAGTGTAGGTTATCTTGATACAAAACACAAAGCCAGTAGGCAGATGAAAAGAAATGATGAAAAACAGAATCAGAAATGACAGCCCTTTCAGGGTTAATTTTAATATGACAGCTGCTGAAGCATAGCAGAGTCTGTAGGCCTTTGCAAATTACACACATGCATTTCATTAGTTTGGATATGGCCTGTGAGGAAATACATTGGAAAGAGCTAGGGGAGACTTTACAGGTGACATTCACGTGTGGTTATCTAGGGCTTGAAGACCTGTCCCAGTAGTCCACTGTGCCTCCTGGTAAGGATCCTCCTGAGATTCCACCAGGGAAACCAAATAGGAAGCAATGAGCTATGAGGGCTTGGTGGACATCATGACATGTACGCTTAGGGCTCCAGGGATATGTTGACAAAGCAGGAGCTAGAAAAAATTGTCAGGCTAAATGCTATTTAGGTAGAAAGGGTAAAGCAGCCTAGCATTAAGGCCTAGGACTTAAGGAAGAGTCCTTATATATTCATAGCCTATATATATATAAAATATATATAATAATTTGTTTTTAGCATTTTTCATATATTATGAAAAAAAATTTCCTTCACATCATTCCAAGTTGATGAATCCCAGGAACCAAATGTAGGAATTTCTTAAGCATAAATGTAACCTTATTCTGTATAGCAGTGGCTTTCAAACTTGGATGTTGAGCAGAATCACCTGGAGAGCTTGTTAAACACACGTTACTGAGGCTGTCTCAGAATTTCTACTTCAGTATGCCTGGAGTGAGGGCTCAGAATTTGCATTTCTTTTTAATTTTTTAATTGAATTATAGTTAATTTGCAATGTTGTGTTTCAAGTGTATGCAAAGTGATTCAGTTATATATACATACACACGTTCTTTTTCATTATAGGTTATTACAAGATACTGAATATAGTTCCCTTCGCTATACAGTAGGTCCTTGTTGTTTACCTACTTTATATTTAGCAGTGTATGTGTGTTAATCACAAAGTCCTAACTTATCTTCCCCCCACCCTACCCTCCACCACTGCTATACCCTTTCAGTTCAGTTAAGTTCAGTCACTCAGTCGTGTCTGACTTTTTGCAACCCCATGAATCTCAACACGCCAGGCCTCCCTGTCCATCACCAACTCCCGGAGTTTACTCAAACTCATGCCCATCGAGTCGGTGATGCCATCCAACCATCTCATCCTCTGTCGTCCCCTTCTCCTCATGCTCCCAATCCCTCCCAGCATCAGGGTCTTTTCTAGTGAGTCAACTCTTTGCGTGAGGTGGCCAAAGTATTGGAGTTTCAGCTTCAACATCACACCTTCCAATGAACACCCAGGACTGATCTCGTTTAGGATGGACTGGTTGGATCTCCTTGCAGTGCAAGGGACTCTCAAGAGTCTTCTCCAACACCACAGTTCAAAAGCATCAATTCTTTGGCACTCAGCTTTCTTCACAGTCCAACTCTCACCTCCATACATGACCACTGGAAAAACCATAGCCTTGACTAGACGGATCTTTGTTGGTGAAGTAATATCTCTGCTTTTTAATATGCTATCTTGGTCATATCCCCTTTGGTAACCATAAATTTGCTTTCTATGTCTGCAAGTCAAGTAAGTTATTTGTATCATTTTTTTAGATTCCACATATAAGTGATAAATGATGATTTGTCTTTCTAGGACTTCCTTCACTCAGCTGCAAGTGGTGTTTCATTCTTTTTTATGGCTGAGTAATATTCCATTGTATATGTATACCATATCTTAACACTTTCATCTGTTGATGACCGTTTAGGTTGCTTCTATATCTTGGTTATGGTAGATAGCACTGCTGTGAACATTGGGGAGTATGTATCTTTTTGGACAGAATTTTTATTTCTGGTAAGTTCCCAGATGATGCAGATGCTGCTTGTCTGGAGACCACACTTTGAGAACCCCTGCTGGAGAGACATTATAAATGTGACCCTCCTAAGAATTCAATAAAGTTTCATATGATTCTTATAAACCTTAATGGAAATCAGTGATCTGGAGAATCAATAAGACCAGCCCTCCACAGCTATAATTTTGATTCAGTATTGACTTACTGAGTGACTACTGTTTATGCAGCCTCTCTATTGTAAAGATACAAAGAGGGGAGGAGATCCAGCCCTTGTCTTGATTCCTCTGATAAAAGAAGTAAGAGAATTGTCACACAGGGAAGGCATAAGAAGGATGTCTTAGTAGTCTGAGAAGAGTGCGTGGAGGAATTGTGGGCTCAGTCACCTATCACTGGTAACAAGCTACCCCAAAACTCAGTGACTTAAAACAGACCCTAGTTATTATCTCTCACAAACCTGCATGTTGACTAGGCTCAGCTGGATGGTTTTTCTGTTCAGTTGTTATCTGGGACTGTGGTTATTTGGAGGCTTAGCTGAGCTGGCATGATCCAGGATGACTCAGTCTTGTAGCAATAGTCAGGGCTGGCTGTTGACTTGGCGCTGACTGGAGCGCCTGAAGTCTCTTCTGTGTGACCTCTCAGCATGAGAGCAGGGCTCTGAGATGGAACATTCCAAGTGTGTAAAAATGGAATCTACAGGGCTCTTCAGACCCAGCCATGGAAGTTCCTACATTGTCACCTCTGCTGCATTCTGTTGGTTAGAACAAGTCACAAGAGAGAATGCCTCAGTGATCCACTGGTTAGGATTCCACACTCTTACTGTTGAGGGCATGGGTTCAATCCCTGCCCTAGTTGGAGAACTGGGATCCTGCAAGCTGCGAGGTGTGGTCAGAAAAAGACAAGGCAGTTCGAGAGGAAGGAAATGGACTACTGGGTGGAAGGGTAGCAGAGAATTTGTAGCCATCTTTAGCTACTATAGGCTGATTGAGGCAGGCCCTACAGGATGAATAGGGTTTTGATAGGCATAGCTTTCAGAGGGAAGAGTTTTAGAGGAAGAAATAGCAAGTCTACAGTTTAACCAGAGGGAAAAGTTCCCAAAAGGGGCATGGGAAGATGGAAGGGGACCCTGTGACAGAGGGCTTTGAACAGCAGGTGGAAGATCATGGACTTCCACTGGCCAACTTTGAAATGGCTGTGGAGGACCTGTGATTTTATTAGCATGGTGCAGAGTTTGGGAATGACTCCTCAATTCTTCAAACCAGTTCATTGTATCTTTCCCTGTCAGTCCAGTGTTCATAGCTCTGGGTTTGGCATCTCTTTCTAAGATGTGGGAAGGTATACTTACTCCTTGAAAGTGAAAGTGAAGTCACTCAGTCTTGTCCGATTCTTTGCAACCCAGTGGACTGTAGCCTACCAAGCTCCTCCGTCCATGGGATTTTCCAAGCAACAGTACGGGTGTGGGTTGCCATTTCCTTCTCCAGGGGATCTTCCTTACCCAAGGATCGAACCCGGGTCTCCTGTATTGTAGGCAGACGTTTTACTGTCTGAGCTACCAAGCTTACTCCTTAGGTTACTGTAAATGGGGCCAAGTAAGCATTTTGAAGGATAAGAGATGTATAACTACAGAATACAAGTTGAGCAACATGCGGCTTTGCATCAGACCTAATTAGGCTTGTCCCTGCTGCATTGGTGCATTAGTTACTTAGTCTTGCCCTTGTCTTTTTCTCATAGCAACCCTCCACTGAGTGAAGAGATGTTGCCTCCTGGGGAGTGGATGTGTCACCGGTGCACTGTTCGAAGAAAGGTAAGAATGCTGCTTTCTGAAGGCTTTGCTCCAAATGCCAGATCTAGACCACTGATAATGGAGAGCAAAGACGGCCTGGCCCTGAAGGCTTTTTCTTCCCTTCTTATCTCTTCCAGCCCTGAATCACCCTCACACGCCCCATGTTGACTGTTTAGAATCCAGTAGGGCCTAAAATCCAAACATGGGCTGCTGAAATGGGCTGAAGAGGTGTGTTAATTTACTGAGACATGTTCATTCACTAGTGACAGGAGTAGTCTTGATCTCCTTGTAGACCTCCTGATAACTGGCCTGAACATACTGGCAGCTGTTTCCATGGCGAAAGAGGCTGAAGAAGAAGGCTGCCCCTGCAGCTTGATAGAAAAAGGATTCCCCTCACCTCGAGGCAAATAAGTCACTGGTCTCCAGAGGCTTGGTCAGGTGTGGTGGGTGGAGAGCACTTTGACCCACTTGGACCCCAGGTTGTCTAACCTCTCTTCAGCTTCCCTTCCCTCAGCTTTGATAATTCAGTACTGGCTTTGAGAACATAATTTTCTATGTTGAGAACTTCTGTGGGGTTCAAAAGCTAAATGCTCCCTTATCAAAAAAGGAAGTAAGTGTGCTTCCACCAGATAGCGAGACCCAATCCTCAAATTACAGGCTGTGGATTAGAATTTGTGTGTGAATTGTAAACCATTCCCTGCCCTACCCCCACACTAATCACACACCAAGCAACTGTTCTTTGTTGTGACATCACCTCTTTTCCTGGCCCCTCAACATGATGTCACAATGAATGATGACTTCCTTTGTTGCAGAAACAGGATGAGATGATTCAGAGATTGTGGTTTATGTGTGTAACAGTTTTCAGCCTTTAAGAAGAAGGTTAACAATTAGGCGGACACTTTTTCAATGTGTGCATAGAGTTCCTATTAAAAAGTAAGCCAAGGCCAAGTCAACCACCCTACCAGAGCAGTGGTTTGATTTCTCTTGATGTCCACAAAGCAAGTGTCCTTCAGCTTGTCCTCCTCCCAATCTCTACCTGTGTGTCCCCAGCTAGATTAGAGTGGTGTTAGTTAGAAGCATCTGTCAGCCAAGAGGCCTTTCAGAAACTTGCCACTCAAAAAACTGAACTGGACAGGGCTGGGAACTACTGTGGCAGAAGAGACGAAGCCAGGAAAAGGAGGTGAAGAAGAGGAGCTAACATTGTTTTGATGCTCATCATGGCTGGCTGTTCTACATGTGTTTCATGTAATCCATACAGCCTCCTATGAGTGCTGGTGCTATTATCTCCATTTTTAAAAGGAAGAAACTTGAGGTTTACAATTATAGAACTTACCCAAGTACTCAAAAGAATTGACCGAACCAAGTTTTGAACCCATAACTTTCTGACTCCAGGCTCTATTACTTCCTCAATAATTTAAACAGAACTACTTTCTGGGGATTATACTATAGTATGCCTTTTTCTGCATAGTGTGCTTTTCCCAAAATGCCACTCCCTGCTCTCAAGTGGACCTCTGTGTCTTCGCATGCCATATCTGCCTTTTGCACCACCACCACCTCTCCAGCCCTCTGGCCTCCCTTAGTTACAGTGAAGGGGGTTGAAATGGCCTCCTGTAGACCTCACCAACCTCTCATGTTCAGGTCTCACTCCTAGTGGAGGCTAGATCTTCCCCCCATCTCAGAGTCATCCCTTTCATGTATCCGGTGCTCTTTGTCACAACCAAATCCCTGAGAGGAGGAGGAGAAAGGTTTTACTAGTCTCACTTCACACAGAGAGGAATTCCTGCCCTCCAGCCGGAATCACCTAAGGTCATAGGGAATCAGTGGCAGAACTGGGACAAGATCCCAGGTCTCCTTACTGGACCCAAGTGCTAAACCTTTATTCTGCTTGGACCCTTGGAGGAAAATGTATTTGTCAGTCATTCAGTCCTACTCTGTGCACTTAGTCTTTTCCCTGTCCCCACCTTTCCATTCAAAAAGTGTCACTTTCAGGGTTCTAGTTAAACTGGAGACATGAAGGCCACCATTCTTGGACACCGTGATTGCTGGGTCACTCTGCTCCACACACCATCCTTCCACCTTGTAGTGTGGTTGCCTTGCAAGCCAGTACCCACCATCCCTGGATAGGGAGCTCGGCTTGCCCGTTTTACTTTTTACCTTTGCTTTTACAGACCTTTCTTTATTTTGAGCAAAGTTCTTAACCCTTCAGGACACTCCCAAGGCAAACGGCAGCGTTCTCAGTCCTTGATTCCCTGAGTTGTCCTCACTGTCCCCACTTAGTCTAAGTTTCTTCTCACTGCTTTAACTTTAATCCCTTTACCCCCACCTTGTGTGTGGAGACACTGTGTATCATAGGATGTGTGGTTTGTTTCTGACTTTGGTACTTTCTGATCCCCTGCCCCACTGGTTTTGCCAGCTATAGTTTAGTTCAGCCATAGTTTGGTCAACTTTCACAGACCAGTGTTCCAAGTCCACAGGTGGGTGAGTCTGTAATATTAGAGACCTTCATGGTTTTGGTGAGTGGTCTAGCAGGACTCATAGCATCCATCGCTTTCTGTTTTGTGATACTCTATGTGATGGGCCCGCCTGTTCACTTGCACAGAAACGAGAGCAGAAGAAGGAACTGGGCCATGTCAATGGACTGGTGGACAAATCTGGCAAACGGACTACATCCCCCAGCAGTGACACTGACTTGTTGGACAGATCAGCTAGCAAAACTGAACTCAAGGCCATTGCCCACGCCCGGATCCTGGAAAGGAGAGCCAGCCGACCTGGCACACCCACATCCAACGCCAGCACGGAGACCCCCACCTCTGAGCAGAATGATGTCGACGAGGACATCATCGATGTGGACGAGGAGCCAGTGGCCACAGAGCCGGACTACGTGCAGCCCCAGCTGAGGCGGCCCTTTGAGCTGCTGATCGCTGCCGCCATGGAGCGGAACCCCACCCAATTCCAGTTGCCCAATGAACTGACTTGTACCACTGCACTACCAGGTTAGCCAGACCGTCATATCCTCCCCCCTACCCCGGCTTCCACAGAGGACGTCGTCCACCCAGAGGGCTGTGTAGCCTGGGGTCACTGTCTGTGTAGCCACTGTCTCAAGTTCATGTTTTGGTTTGTGGAAAGATCTTTGAAAGCTTACATGCTTACTCAATTTTCTAATTTCCACCCTTTCCAGTATCACTTTAAAAACGGGGTGAGGGAGGGGGGCGCGGGATGTGGAATATATACACATAGTTGAGAAATCAAAAAATGTAAGAAGAATTCCAATAAAACATCTCCCACCTGTCCCTGTCCGCCGTTGCCCGATTTCCACCTTCCTTCCCCTCACAGATAACCACTGTTTGGTTCTTATGTATCTCTTAGAAGCCAATACAGATATGTTTATCATTTTCCCCTTAAATAGCATGCTTACTTAACATCTTTCGATATTAATGTCGACATTATCCTCAGTTTTCTTAATGGTTGCATAGTAACACATTATATAAACTAATTTCCTATTAATGGACATCCTGGTTGTTCCTAATCTTTTGTTAGGAACAACAAATGGTGTTTCAACAAATAATTTTGTAAATATATCACTGTATACATGTGAGTGTATGGAGGATAAATTACTAATATTAGAATTGCTGGGTCAAAACTATGCAACTATGCACTTGTAGTCTTGATGGATATTATAAATTGTCCTCCATTCCCTTTTTTAAAAAAAAATTTTTTAATTAAGTCACGGCTTCTCCTTGATACCAAAAAACATCTAGTTCTTATTTTCTTCTTCCCGTAGAAAGTGAAATCGGCAGGCATAGGAAACCTGCTGGTCAGTAGGATGCATACAGCATCGTAGCTTTTCTGCTTTCTGTTAAAATGCAGTAAAATTACAGTCTTTTCCTCAGGCACCTCTGTAGAATTTGTTGACCATTTGACCTGGGTCTTTGTGTTTCTTAACTTGCCAGTATCTAACCTAGGCTGCTGACCACTTGATGTTTGCAAAACACTGAGGATGTATTTCTGTCACAGAACAAGGAACTCGTGATCATGGTTCTGACTTACGTCTCCCTTCTCCTGCTTTTTCATTCTGTTTCTCACTGGAAACCAGCCTGGGATGGGGAGGGCCCTCAGAAAGAGATCTGTGTCCAGGCCATGGCACATGGTTTTACTAAGATCCGTTCCTCTGACTCACTCTTGTTTCCATACCCCAGACTAGGAACTCTGCCTTCAGAGAACGTTTAGCACCACCAATTTCTCTTCCAGGTTCCAGCAAAAGGAGAAGAAAGGAGGAAACCACGGGGAAAAACGTTAAGAAAACACAGCACGAGTTAGATCACAATGGTCTTGTTCCCTTGCCAGTCAAAGTCTGCTTCACGTGTAACAGGTATTTTTCTTCCCTAGCAAAGGGCTCTTCCTCATTCAGCAAATGTTTTTTCTCTCTTTTATCACCTCTTCCAAACCATGTATGTTAAATAGGGAAGGGAAGTCGCTCAGTCGTGCCCGACTCTTTGCAACCGCATTGACAGTAGCCTCCTCCGTCCATGGGAATTTCTAGGCAAGAATACTGGAGTGGGTTGCTGTTTCCTTCTCCAGGGAATCTCAGACTTTACCGTCTGAGCCACCAGGGAAGTCCATGTTAAGTAGAGGTAGCCCGTAATCTGATGGTGTGAGTACAAAGAGACTGAGCGACTGACTGATCAGGGCCTTGAGTGTTCTAAAACAGAAATCCTCGAACAGTCACGGTGCAGAATACCATAAACCATGTTGATAGAGGCTTAAGCGAGAGAAGTTGGACTTAAAATGAAGCATGGGATATTTAGACTAGCTGGCAGGAAGAACTCTGGCCAGCCGAGACACACATCCCTGAGAAAGGCTAATAATTTTTGAAGCGCTAAAGATGAATTTAAAAGTAGTACAAGTATCCACCCTAGCTGGCATGCATCAGACTGGATGACTTCCAAAAGCCTCTAGGCTGCCCCAGTTGTAGCTTCCCTGGGACACTGGTTTCCTTCAAATAAGATCTCCGCAGTGACAGGAACCAGCTGCCTCAGTTACCGAAGCTGGACTTGCTGGCTTGGATCTGTGAGAAAGGCAGGATAGCAAGAGAAAATAGCTCTCAATGAGAAATGTTCCACAGCAAAAGCTATAAGGAACAAGACAGGAGCCAGACCCACACTGTGGCTCCAGTGTGACTTCAGGACTCCTGGGGTAGTGTAGGTACAACTCATAACTGGTGTTTGCTTACGCGCCCTCCCTGGAATCGCACTTACGTGAGCACATAACAGAAGCATCTTCCCAGCACAGTGCTCTCTGGTTCTCAGTGTTACTAAGGGCTAATGTGGAAGAGAAATCTTTTCCTCTTGTAGTGTGGGACTCTGGAAAAGTTGCTAGTGATTTTTTTTTTTTAACTGAGGTAATTGCTTTCTGTTAAGGAGTAGAAAGATCAGAGCAGGGTTGGCGGTCTTCCCCAGTAGGTACCGAGCGTTGATCATTCCTGCTCCGACAGCCACTTTAGCTCTACTCCAAATGAGCATTCACGTCTGTGCATTCCTCTTAGCAGAGTGATGAGAAGCCCAGTGGTGGCCCCCAGCTTCATCCATCTTCCTGATGGTGAATGGAACTGAATTACTGGGGAGAGAGTGTGGAAGAACACAGCTAGGATTAAGGAAGGGAAGCCGTCCCACAGGGCAGAGTCCACATGAATTCTCTCACTTTGCCGAATCAATGGCCTCCCTCTCTCTTGCAGGAGTTGTCGTGTGGCCCCTCTCATCCAGTGTGACTATTGCCCCCTCCTGTTCCACATGGACTGCCTCGAGCCCCCGCTCACTGCCATGCCCCTGGGCAGGTGGATGTGTCCGAATCACATCGAACATGTGGTGGTAAGCACGGCAGTGTCCTGGGTGGGCACAGCCAGGGCGTGGACCCAGTCAGTGGGGAGCATAGTACTGTCAGCCTTGTGCCAGAGTTCACTTCAGTCCCTCAGATGCTGGTTCCTGCAGACCATCCTACTCACTTCCCATTACTGTGACCTGCCTGCCTCGGCCGTGCATTTGGCCTTTTCCCACACTGCCTTGTTTCAGCTGCACGGGCAGACTTAGGCCACTTGCACTTGATGGTTCATGAATAATTTCCTCTGTAATGAGTTAAGCAATTGGTGTTACAGCCCTCAAAAGGGAGTATATTATATTAGATCCAGCCTTAACGCAAATCAATGCTCTTCCGTATTTTCTTTTTCTTATTTTTAATTGTAAGATAATTGCTTTACAATGTTGTGATGGTTTCTGCTGTACAACAACGTGAAACAGCAACAATCCCTGATTGTTTTTAGAGGGAATCCCTCTTGTTTTTAGAGGGAACAAACTAAGAAAGTTCTAAAATATTTATTCTCATAGCACTGGCAGGTAACTGCCCAGTAACTTTGGAGAATTTAAGAATTGACCCAGATAACTAACATTCCAGAGAGTCATTTATTGAGCACCTAACGTGTGCTGCACACCACACGTGGAGGACCTTGCCCTTCTCTTCCTTTGTCAAAACTGTCAAAATGAATGAATGGTATGAGGTGCTATTATCTTATCTCCCAGGAGATTTGGTTACATTTTCCAGACTGCTTCCCGAGGCCAGACTAGAACTGTAATTTCCTATCTCCACCAGAGGGATAGGACATCTCCTAATCAGCACTGTCCCTCGGAAGGTTGAATGAGAGAGGGCCTCAGGCGGAGAAGCTCCCTCTTAAGAGCAGCCTCTCCAGGTTCAAAGGGTAATTGCATAAGGCATCACCATATCAAAGGGTGATAATCATGGAATGACTGCTGGCCTTCTGCTTGCCTGGCACTCTCTGCTCTGCCCGGAGAGGAACTTCAGTTATAGACTTGCTCAGAAGGGAGAAAGCACGTACTTGGCCCTCTTCACTTCACTCATGCACCTCAGAAGGGTTATGCAGGAGGAAGCCTCTCTCCAAGGCTCAGTGTGAGTATCTCGTTTTGCCTCCTGCTGAACCAGAAGAGAAACAGCCATGAGCAGTCTACCCAAATGTGAATCTGTAAGAGCAGCCTTTCAGCAGACGAGGAGTTATTAACTGGGTGATTATTTATTAGCCACATAGGGGTTTTCCTAATTTACTAATTAGGAAGCAGCCACATAGATCTTTTCTTTTAATTAAAGTATGGGGGACCAGACGTAGAAAAGGAAAAGAGGCATAGTTGCTCCATGCCTCCTGGAGGCTGCTGCACACACTTTTTTTCTTCCCTCCCTTTGGCCTCTTGAGAGCAGGCCAAGGCTTTCTGCCTACTGTAGAACAAGGCTCTGGTACCCAGGTGGGTTCACGAATGCTTCTTGGTGCCATGGAGGAGGAATAGGGCAGGATTCTGGTGTTGGTCTCACCTGTCAGCCAAGCTCCCACACGGGAAACAGTTCTGCTTCTGGTGGGAGAGAGGCCCTTGCTAGGAAAGGAGTCTGGAGCGCTCTAGGGCCAAGGCCTGCACCTGCTCTGAAACCTGTGCACTGGGAAGAGGACTGTCAGAGGCTGAGTTTGGAAGGGCCCTCCGGGCTGACTCCCTGTGTCTTGTCCCCTTCGGGCCTCTCTAGGGAGTGGGAACTAGACTGGCCACATCCCCCGGCCCTCTGACAGGAGTGTTGACATACCAGCTCCTGACAAAAGGAGCCCAATGGGCCGAGGTTGCCTTTTTTTTTTTTTAACATAGAGATAATTGGGAGGGTGATGCATCTGAGCTCCACAGCAGGAATGTGTCTCCTCTGTCCCCAGCTGAACCAGAAGAACATGACGCTGAGCAATCGGTGCCAGGTGTTTGACCGTTTCCAGGACACCATTTCACAGCACGTCGTCAAAGTGGACTTCCTGAACCGAATCCACAAGAAGCACCCTCCCAACCGCCGCGTGCTCCAGTCGGTCAAAAGAAGAAGCTTGAAGGTGAGTCACAACCCGGCGCAAGCAGGATGGTGGTCTCTGCCCGCCTTCCTGGGTAGACAGGGTCAGGGTCCCCATTACAGAGGGGAAGACTGAAGCTCAATGGCAAGTGACAAATGCAACCATCAATTTATGGTGGTCAGGAAACCCACAGGGAGGCCTTCAGACTCAGCCAGTTTTCTAGTTCTCTTGAGGATCAGCAGTCTTCAGTCCCTCCCACCAAACTTTTGGTGTGCTCTGCCGTTACCATCCCCACTCCTGGCACTCATTCTGTTTCTGTTAGGTGGCCCCTTTCTCAAAGCTGTCTGGTGAGGGGGGAAGTGTTTAAAGGGGTGATTAAGCTGAAGCCCTTAACAAAAAGTGAGGGACAATCCATTTTGGGGGGCTACTGTTAATATATCATCAATACTCAAAAAAATTGTGGTGTTGGTATAGTCAACATTTGTATGCATCTGACAGCTGCTAACCTGTGTCCACAGAGATGGACAGGAGTATTTCCTTCTTTGAAAAGCATTTGGTAGTACTGAGGCTGTCTCTCCTAAACTGGTTAGTCTCATTCATTTAACTTAGAGAACATAACACTATATACCCGTGTATATAAACTTGATTTTTCTCTTTTGAAATAATCCTGCAGTCCCCTCTACCAAGGGAAACCAACAGTTCTCAAATGTGGCCACTTGGTGGCAGCCACACTTAATATTATCACTCGCACCACTTCCATCACTTCCATTGGGTGTCAGTGCTAGCTAAATGTTGACTGTTGAAAATTGTGTAACAAACTCTTAACCGTAAATATTTATGCTTTGGTGGGAACACCAGTTTTCCAAATTAAATAAAGGTATTTGCAGTCAGGGGTAGAATGTATTTGCACATTGAAGATGGCATGCCTCAGACCTTACGTAGACATCTAAGAGTAAGTCTGGGCTATGTGATTGACCGTATGGATCTGAAAGAAAGCCTGGCTGCTGAAGTGAACAGGTCAGGGGGCCTTGATAGAATCCTGATGCCCCTCCCCCTTTTGAAATGTGTCCCTATTCTTGAGGAGAACCCAAGGTTATGAATCGCCTAAGAAGCATTTTGTTCGTAGTGTGAGAGAGAAATGGGGCCTGCAGCACCAGAGAACCACGGCAGAGAACTGCTCCAGCCCTGTTCTGGAACATTGGCCTTCATCCGTGACATGCAACAATGCAGGCAAAATCAGCCGAGACCTTCATATCTTTGTTGGGGGGGTCCCTCTTTCTCAGGGGCAACCTTAGTCTAGCTACTGCCCCATTCCTGGATGCCCTCAGACAAGTCCATAACACTGGCCACCACTGTTAACATGACAGCTCTCAATTCTGTGTTCCTTGCCTTTCTCCTGATAACTAGATTCATATCTGCCTGCTCATCCTGCAAAAAACCAAGAGTCTTTTGCCTCCAAATGTGCTCTTCCTCTTCTTGTATTTCCTGGTTCAGTGAATGACTTGAAATCTCTACCCAGTCCCTCAAACCAGAATTCAGCTCTTCTTCCGTTAATCTCCGTAAGGACTTGGTCACCAAATCTGTTAGTTCTCACACATTTTCCAAGTCCACCTCCCCCACCTGTAGTTACCCCTTCATCTGCCTAGGAGTTCCTCCTCAGCTTCCAGTCTTGGATAATACTGCCCTCCAACGAAATCCTCCCTAGTCCTGAGCTCCTGGCCCCCAGATGAAAGTAAGCACACTTTTTTTTTTAATAGCTCCTTAGACATCCTCTCTTTTAGGACCCATTACATTGTATTGTAATGTTTCTGGGCTCATCTCCCACCAGGCTGTGAGCTTCCCTAGGGGCAAGGCTTAAATTTTGTTCATCTCTGGATCTCTAGGACTTGGCGTGGTGCAGACTCAGGAGGTACTCAGTAAACGTTGGCTGAATGTATGAATGACTCTTGACTTGTGTGACGCTTCCGTTCACACATGTTGTGATTCAGAGTGTGTTGTCCGTCTTTGTGCAGCAAAGAGGCCTTTAATTGTTTCATGAGTCATGAGTGAATGGATGAAGACAACTGACACTGAGTGCTTATCACCAGACAGGCCTCACGCTGCGCATTTCCACAGTGAATGTGGCCTTATTTAACTTTTTCTCTCTCAGATACTGCTCACTCACCTCCCAGATGAGATGCTGATCAGTAAGAGCCTAGACTACCACTCTAAAGTCCTGTCCAGTGTCTCTCTTACACTTTTTGGGCCAAAACAGAGGCAGCATACAGGAAGGCCTGGTTTCTGCAGGCCTTGGACCTTGATGAAGAAGAGTTAGGAGACATGGCTGCCTTTTCTAGCGCTGTGCCTTCTCAGATTTGTGTGTGTGTCAGAGTCACAGAGATGGAGATACAGAGCAGCAGCCACCCACCGTGCGTCCTCGTCCTCAGTGGGCCCCGGAGTGGACGGCTGCCCCCGGGCATCGGCACCACAGACAAGCAAGGCCAGCGCAGAGCCCACCGGGTGTGTTGGCTCTGCCACCCTCTCCTTCCTCCCTCTCTCTGTCCCGAACAGGTTCCCGATGCCATCAAATCTCAGTACCAGTTCCCACCCCCTCTCATTGCACCCGCGGCCATTCGGGACGGGGAGCTGATCTGTAATGGGATCCCTGAGGAGTCACAGACGCACCTTGTGAACTCTGAGCACTTAGCCACCCAGGCAGAGCAGCAAGAGGTGAGTGAAGGCAGGGCCGGGACTCCAGACCCCATCATCCTTCCACCTCGCTGCGGCTGTCACTGGAAGTCACTCTCATCCCCATCTTCTGCCACCCCACCCTCCCCCACCCTGAGCCCCCAGCCCCGCTGCCACCGCCCTGCCCCCTGAGTTGACCATTCCAGAGAGACCCTCTGGCTCAGATCCTGAGGCAAGTAAGAGAACTACAGAGTCAACTGGTCTGCTTCTCTCCACCAGTCCCCAGGGTGCTGCGAGACGGGCACGTCCGTCTTGCAGAAAGAGATGAGTAGACCTAGAGAAGTTAGGTGGCATTGCTGGACACACAGCAGGAGCTTGGGTCCTTGCTGGATATTGGTGACGAGGTGAGCCTTAGGGGCAGAGTCAGAACGGGAACCCCCAGCCCTGCTGACCAGGGTGTTGCCTGCCGAGTGTGTACCGACAAGCCTTGCTTGGGAATGGAGATGGAGTCCTCTCAGGAGTCAAGCACACCCTCTCTGGGCATTCGCGATGGGACCTTGGAAACAGTGCTTGTCGGCTCTGCGGTAGCCCTGGCCGCTGTGGCAGGAAGGACCAGCGCCTCCCAGGCCTCTCACCCTCCTCTCCTCTCCTCTCCTTCCGTTGCAGTGGCTCTGTAGTGTTGTTGCGCTCCAGTGCAGCATATTGAAACATTTATCTGCTAAGCAGATGCCTTCGCATTGGGACTCTGAACAGACAGAGAAGGCTGATATTAAGCCTGTTATTGTGACTGACAGCTCAATCACCACCTCCCTGCAAACAGCTGACAAGGCACCTCCACCTTCCCACTACCCCTTGTCCTGCCCCTCAGGGCTTAGCACCCAGAATTCCCTGAGTTGCTCTCCACCCCACCAACCCCCCACCCTAGAGGACATCAGCTGCAGCTCTTGTGCGGAAAAATCCAAGAAAGCCCCCTGTGGGACTGCCAACGGGCCGGTGAACACAGAGGTGAAAGCCAATGGCCCACACCTCTACAGCAGCCCCACTGATTCCACGGACCCCCGGCGACTTCCAGGCGCCAACACCCCCCTACCAGGCCTCTCACACCGGCAAGGCTGGCCCCGGCCCCTCACGCCACCAGCGGCTGGGGGGCTTCAGAACCACACCGTCGGCATCATTGTGAAGACAGAGAATGCCACTGGCCCCAGCTCTTGCCCCCAGAGGAGTGTGGGTCTTGTCCCAAGCCTACCCCCTTCCGTTCCCAGCTCTTGTGCCAGCATCGAGAACACCAGCACTTTGCAAAGAAAGACTGTCCAATCCCAGATAGGACCTCCGTTGACAGATTCAAGGCCACTGGGCTCACCCCCAAATGCCACCCGGGTGCTCACTCCCCCCCAAGCTGCAGGTGATGGTATCTTGGCCACAGGAGCCAACCAACGATTCTGCTCACCAGCGCCATCGTCAGGTGAGTGCGGCTCAGCCTTTCATGCTCTTCCTGGCAAATAACTCTTAAGGGTCAAACAACACTTGTATCCCTGTAAATGTTCCAGAGGACTTTGATCTCTGTATTAATTGTCCTTCCCCCTGTTTCTATGATAGAAGAGAAAGTGCCTGTTAACTTATCCCTAATTTAGAGGCAGGACCTTTAGGCTCTGAAAGTGATCTCCTTAAGGGAACCTACCGAGTCAGTGCAGGAGTGGAGCTGGAGCCTGGGTCTCCTGACTGTCCCCTCCCACGCTGTCCAGGCTTTTTGTCCCGTCACCTTAGAGGAGCTGCCGTGGTCAGTCTTAGGTTCTGGGTGACGGCCTCGGTGTTTGATGATCCACCCGTTCCAGAATCTCAGAGACAGCTCGTTTGAAGAAATTGCTGTGTCAGGGAAAGCAGGGCCAGAAAACAGCACTGCCTTCCAGAGTAGGCAGAGTGGAGTGCCCGCAGAGGTTGCTCTGGCCCGAAGGCTTGTGCTCGGGCCACATTCTACAAGGCAGTCCCATAATGCGTCCTGGGCGAGGTGTAGACCCGCTCTTTCACCTGTGCCGTCAGCATTCAGGACCTCAAGGTTGCTGACCCCAGCATCTGAACCAGGTTTCAGATGCTGCTGGAACCCCCTGTGGTCTCTCCTGTCTGAACTGAACTGGCCTCCTAGTCAGCTGGGAGTCTCGGTGACCAGGTGACTGTGACTTCTCTGCATGGGGGCCCCTGGTCCCAGGATGGCCCCTACTCTCAGGCTCTCTTCCTATTTATCTCTGAATACCGGCCTGGCTATCTTCGGCACCTGTGAGTCCACTTCAGGACACAGGAGCTGCAGGGGCAGGCACCACCTGCTTGAGTGAGCAGAGGCGGCCGGGAGGTAGTCGCGGCCCAGAGGACGAAGCTATCCCACCACGTCCCCCTGAGCAGTAGATGTCCTCATTCTCGTGCTCTGGGGACTCCCGCGTGCCCGGGTGTGTTGTCGTTCCACCTGCCCTTCCTCACCACACGTTTTTAGCTCTAGGAGTTCCAGAGCCTATGGGGTGAGGATCAAGAAGGGAACATCACCTTGGGCCCGAAATCCAGGCCTGTCTCAGCAGTGGGGGATTGGACCGGTGGGTTTCCCTCAGGCAACGTAAGTAACAGTCTTCCTGCTCCGTCCCCAGATGGCAAGGTCAGCCCCGGCACGTTATCCATAGGAAGCGCTTTAACCGTACCCTCTTTCCCAGCCAACTCTACTGCCATGGTGGACCTCACCAACTCACTTCGCGCATTCATGGACGTCAATGGAGGTGAGTGAGTGAGCTGCTGCCCCTGTGCAGCGTTCAGCTCATGGCAGAGGAGCAGAAGGGGGCCTGGTCTCGGGGCGGGGAGGCGGGAGGACTGTAGGAAAGAAAGTCCCTTCTCCCAGTTCTGCCTCATACACGCGGTATACACATAACAGTGACAAAGGGAGCGCAGAGCCAAGCTAAACCAGTGAGAAGACAAGAAAGTCACTTTAGGCAGATCACTTGGACTTGAATAAAACCAGGAAGAGCCTCGCTTCCAAAGGAGGGACCTCATCTGTGAGGAACCCCTGAAGTCAGGGAGAACAGGAGCCAACCTTGATCTCTGAGCAGGGGCGTTAGAGAGTCCAGGCCTCAGTACCAGACATCGGGGCTTCCGCTCAGCCCAGGTAGGCAAGTTGTGTCTTGCTGCACTTTCTGGAACCACCATACCTAACGTTAAGCTTCCCCACTGCAGGGGGCATCTGCCCAGGCTGCCTGCAGCCTCTCATTGCAGAAGGGCCAGTGAGATACTTGGCTCCAGGCCCTGGTACCACTTTGTACTCTGAGTCATTTGAGAAAAATCACTTGGCTGGATTTTAGGAATGCTGAAATATTGGCTCTCTGACCCTCACTTACTTCCACATTCCATTTCCTCCTCAGCTGCTTTTTAATCTTTCTCTTTGGTTAATAGAAATCGAGATAAATATGCTGGACGAGAAGCTGATCAAGTTTCTGGCCTTGCAGAGAATACATCAGCTTTTCCCCTCCCGGGTCCAAGCTTCACCGGGCAGTGTCGGGGCACATCCGCTGGCTTCTGGAGGGCACCACACGGAAGGTGCGCATGCCCACGCCACCCAGCTTGGTCCACCCTCTGCCTGTGAACAGCCATCTCCCCTCCACGGAGAATCTCAGTCCTCCATGCAGGCCTTTACTGGGCTTAATAATAACACCACAGTTTCTTTTCTCAAAAGCAGAAACAAGATGGTGACCACCACTTTCAGATCAGACTCGGGAGAGTCTGCTGTAACTCATCCCTTGTGAGACACAGAAAGCAGCTAGGAGTGCCTTTGGGTATATGGGATATGCTTTCTGCTCATTTGCTTCTCAGTATTTGAGCTGGAAGGATTTTCCAAAAGGCTAACTCTGCTTAGGACAGCCCTTAGAGCGTTAGCCAGTAAAAACCTCGCTGCTTAGAAGCAGGATCCTCAGACCGTGAGCATCCGCATCTCCTAAGAGCTTGTTAGCAGAGCTCAGGCCCCACCTCCGACCTAAGGAATCAGAACCCGCATTTTAACAAGATCCCTGGGTGATTGATATTCAAAATTAGAGGAACATTGGTTTGTGCCTTCTGGGGTTTTTGCACAGCCTCCCTTATAAGATCAGTTAGTATATCCCTGATAAACCAACCGGCAGCCCTTGTGCTTCAAGTACTATCATCCTTGAATTACATGGTCCTCTTGAGAGATGGTCCTTTTTACTCCCCAACGTGGGAAACGCTGTTAAGTGGGGAGAGAGCCACACCCTGCAGCAGCTTCGTGTGAGGTGTGAGTTTGGAAAGATGACTCAGCCTGTGGGGTTATTTTCTCCATGACCAAAGGTCCAGCTTCTCTTGATGTGTGTTTGGGCCCCAGGTTCTGTTCCTGAACAGTCACATCCCTATGTTTGCCTTGCAGTGCAGAGAAGGGAAGTACAGGCCCGAGCTGTGTTCTACCCCCTCTTAGGGTTGGGAGGCGCTGTGAACATGTGCTATCGAACCCTCTACATCGGGACAGGTAAGCCAGGTGGGAGGGGCATTGACCCTCTCCAGCCCTGAAGATGGACACCCTGACCCCCTGAGGCTAGAAAGGGACGGACACCCTCTCCAGGGGGGACTGGTTTAACCCAGCAGATGTCTGAATAGGAGGGACTGAGAAGAGGGACTGTCAGCTGCCATCTTCCCGCTTCAGGCCTTGTGGCCCGTGTGGCTCAGACAGCCCGGAAGGCAGCCCTGACTGCTGCTCAGTGAGCATTTCAGCAGCGCAGGGAAGACCTGAGCAGAGGGCACATGCTCTCTCCCTGGAGACCTTTGAAGACGTGATGGGGCTGACACATGTGTAACCCGTGCTTAGCCCTGCATCTTGCCAGAGGGACAGGCAAGCCCTTAGCCTGGAAAGGCCCCTTTCTCTCAGACGATGCGATTTCTGGACCATGCACCCCATGTTGTGCTCGCATGGAGATCGCTCCCTGCACCCCTCTGGGCAGCAGCCCATATTCTGAAGCACATGAGCTGGCAGGGACATCTGTTCTTTTACAGGGGATTGGAAAAGATAGCAATTTCTCTTCAAAAGTACAAGGAGAGGGCCCTGAGCTTACCTGTCCCTGAAGCTCCCGCCCAGAAGCTAACTCCCACCCCACTCAGCTCCCCCGTGCATCCACCTCACAGTCTGTTCTTCGTTTCCTTTCCTCTCCTCCACCCTCCTCCCCTTGCAGGAGCTGACATGGACGTGTGCCTTACAAACTATGGTCACTGTAACTACGTGTCCGGGAAACACGCCTGCATATTCTATGATGAGGTGAGGGGAGGCAGAGAGCTCTGCCAGCCTGAGGCCTCTCCCAGTGCTGGGGTTGTGTTCAGTGCCCTGGGTGAGGGGAAGGGGGTGGGGTCCTCTCCTTCTCTTCCCTCCCTGGCATTCCCAGAAGAGAAGAGTCTTAGTGTGAAGGGCATCCGTCCTGGGGAGCAGGGCCGCCATTTCTCCTGAGGTCGGTCAGCAGGCCCAGGGAGGGAGGAGGCACCCTAAGCTAGGGGCGGGGGGACCAGCAGAAGGAACTAAGCCCTCCAGGCGTGTCCCTGTGGGTTTCAGCAGCAGCAGCAGCACGTGCCAGTGAATGTCATTTCACCAGGAGCCCGTGCGAAGGAGGAAGTACTGGGAGGGTAGGAAAGAAAGCTTTCTTGAGGACATGAGTCTTGAGCCCTATTGGAAGGGGCAGGGCAGCGAGGCGTGATGGGGAAGGAAGGAGGGGGCTCCCTGGTAGAGCAGCACAGCCTTCTCCATGTGTCCTCTCTCCCCTTAGCCCCAGGCCCCACGCAGCAGACCACACATCTTATCTTCCCTCCTCCTCCTCAGAATACCAAACATTATGAGCTGTTAAACTACAGTGAGCACGGGACAACGGTGGACAATGTGCTGTATTCATGTGACTTCTCTGAGAAGACCCCGCCAACCCCCCCAAGCAGTATTGTTGCCAAAGTGCAGAGTGTCATCAGTAAGTTGGAGCAGAGGCCTGTGGCCACGGAACCTGCCCTTTTGGACACTTCCTCTGATGCCTCAGTCAGGGTGGCTGTGGCTCGCTTCCCTGACCTGTTGTCACTAGCCTTCCCGGTCCTGCTGGCCAGGTTCTCCTTGGTCGTGGGCCCCAGAAAGGCCATGGAGAAGCACGTGCTGCACACCCCCATGGGTATATACACCTACCTTGGGAGCCTCAGACTCCACCTCTCCTTTCTGAGCTCCCCTCACCCCAAGTCACACAGCGTTTTAGAATGGGGAGGTGCAGGGGCCCCACCCTGGCTGGCGGCCCAGGTGGGGCTTGGCTGCTCACTGTTCCTCTCCTGTGACCTTCCCGTCTCTCCCAGGGCGCCGCCGGCACCAGAAACAAGATGAAGAGCCAAGTGAAGAGGCAGCCATGATGAGCTCCCAGGCCCAGGGGCCGCAGCGGAGACCCTGCAACTGCAAAGCCAGCAGCTCGAGCTTGATTGGGGGCAGTGGGGCCGGCTGGGAGGGCACGGCCTTGCTGCACCACGGCAGCTACATCAAGCTGGGGTGCCTGCAGTTTGTCTTCAGCATCACTGAGTTTGCGACCAAACAGCCCAAAGGCGATGCCGGCCTGCTGCAAGATGGGGTCTTGGCCGAGAAGCTCTCTCTCAAGCCCCACCAGGGCCCCGTGCTGCGCTCCAACTCCGTTCCCTAGGACTGGCGGCCATCCCGTCACCCGCCCGTCCACCCCACCCAAGACTCCTGCAATGCAAAAATGTACACAAACCAAGCCCGGGTTTTTTTTTCTATACTCTACCGGAAACCCTTCGACTACAATCTTTGCATGAAATGAAGAAACCTTTTGACTGTTTTTTAAAAATCCTTTTTCTTTTCTCAAGTTCTAGGGGGCATTTGCACATATATTTGTACTCAACATTTCATGGGAAAGCGGCAGACCGAGCTGAGGAACAGCGTGGGCAGGGAGGGGAAGGCCGATGGTCTGGACACCTCCGACACAAAACCGTTCCCCACCCACCTCCTGCTCCCTCCCCCTCGCCCGCCGTTGTAAAATAATCAGAAACTTGTTCTATTTTGTGGCAGTGACAATAGTTTTATATTAAAAGAAAAAAATACAGTTTTCATACAGCAAAATCTATACAATATCATTGTTTTATTTAATATAAAGATCGTACCCACCCTCCTTCCATGGTTCCCACCCTCCAGGTTATTTTCCCTTTCTGCAGCGGTTGCACTACAGGTAGCTACTGTGTATTATGGACAAATGAGAAATGAATTCTTTTTCTGGCTGTCCATCTTATTTTATTTCAAATAAGGAAAAGTGTATTTGGATTTTGTGTAAATACATCTAGTGATGACATTTTTTCAATGTTTTTAAAAACTGTGTACAGTACTACATGTGGTAGAGCGTTTTCTTCAAATTGTCTATTGTAGCAAAAACGTTTTTGTCGTAAACCTGTTTTGTCTCTTTTTGTTCTCTTGCCACTTCTCTCCTCTTCCTCCCACCCCTGGCTCCCTCCTCTCCCCCCACCCCCACAACTAGTTCCGATGTACATAGTAATTGTAATGTTTTAGACTTTACAGAAACTTTCCTGTATTCTGTATATAAAAAAACAAAAATACTTCAAATTATGTTTTCTGCCTGTCTGTCCTACCTGTCATCACCCTTAAGAGGGAACCCTCCTGAGGCCCTGGTCTCACAACCCCACTGAACAAGTCTCAGTCCCAGATACTCAGTCCCCAGGGAAGTCAGGAGAGGGGAGGTGTTAGAGAAAACTGCCTAGGGTGGGAAGGCCAAATGGAAGGGGAGGGGTTCAGCTGCGATGGCGGGTTGTTGTATGGCTTTGTGGGTGATTTGAGGGGATTCAGAGGGCTTGAGCATTTGATGTGATCAGATTCTACAAGAATCCCAAGAGTGCAGATCCCTGCTCCTCTTGGCTCCAAAACCAAGACATTAAAATAGGAGATGGACCTCTCTGGTGGCTCAGTGGTAAAGAATCTGCCTGCCAAAGCTGGGCACTTGGGTTCCACCCCTGGTCTGAGAAGATCCTACATGCCTCAAAGCAGCTAAGCCCTCACACCTAGAACCCGTGCTTTGCCACAAGAGAAGCCACTGCAATCAGAAGCCCACACACCACAGTGAAGAGCAGCCCCCACTCACCGCAACTAGAGAAATCCCACACATCCAAAAATGTTTGGGTTTTTTTGTTTTGTTTTTCAAAAATATTTTTTTAAAATAAGAGATAGCATGAGACCTCTGCATTCTGGTCTAGAAGCTTTAATCCAAGCAGTGGGGCTGTCTTTCCTTCCAGTTATTTGCTATCATTTTATCCATCTATTCTGGGAGAAGTCATAACACCTGGTTTTTTTCCCCCTCAGCCCTAGCTGGGTATGGAGCAATTCATTATTCAAGTATCACTCAAGTTCCTCCAGTGCCCAGCCTTTGCCGGGCCTTGGATCTTGGTCTCAGTAACTTGCTGTGAGCAATCACCAGGGCAGATGAGGCCCCTGCCTCTCGGAGTTTAGAATCTAGTGCGGAGCAGTTAGTTGTTTCAAATGTCTGAAGAGAGAAGAAATCCAGTCTCTAGACTCAGTCATGCCACAGGTAACTCGATTTGCAGTCACAACTTGACAACTGCAATCCCTGATCAGATGAGTTCACCCATTACCTTAATTCTCAGGCCTCCAACCTCGCTTTTATTTAAACAAACTATTCCTCCTTGCACATTATACTTAAGAAATTTTATCTGCCAATTTTTCCTGAAAACCATCTCCTGCTCCTTAGAGAACACAGCTGTGTGTATGCATGCCAGCACTGTTAAGAGTGCGTGGTATCTGCATGTCAGGAGATTTTGTTTTGGCGGGGGTGGAGAACACATCCATTTATTTCACTCATATTCCATCCCTAGTCTCATCCCACAGTATGGACATGTGAACGCTGAATCCATGGTGCAACTAAACAGGAAACCTCCCCTGGAATCTGAGGTCTGACCCTGGTTTCCACCCACCCTTCTAACTTTGCCTCCACCACTCTCCTCCTCCTCCTCCCCCGATGGGCCTTGTGAACTCAAGGGCAGAAACATTGTTCTGCTGGGTATTTTCAAGGCTACCTACACTGCTGGGCATGCTGTGAGTGCCAAACAACAGGTGCTAAATTGTACTGGATTTCTTTCTCCTGGCAAGTCACCTGGCCAGAAATAATACCCTTACCCATGCCTCCCCAGCTGTCCCCACACACTCAGCCATCACAATCACTTCTATTCAGTGATGAAGCCTCTTTACCTACTTCTCCCATCTGTCAGAATCATTCCAGAGACAAATTTCCTCCTGAAGATCAGAGGACAGATTTTACACTCCCTTCCTGCTTCCCTTCAGAAATGGAGGGGTGGGGGACTTTCCTAGTGGGCCAGCAGCTAAGACTGCACTCCCAATGCAGGGGCCCCAGGTCCAATCCCTGCTAGGGAACTAGATCCCACATCCCACGTGCTGCAGTTAAGACCCGGTGCAGCCAAATAAATAAATATATCTATAAAAAAGGAGGGGTCTGGTGGGGTAGGAGGAGGTGAGGAGATAGACAGCTAATGAATAAGTGAATCCTGACAGCCCTGAACAGATGGTGCCACCCTACACGCACTGTGTCACCTCCCTGACCTCTATGGGAAGAAATGAAAGAATCCTAGAAGCTGAGGGCTTCCCTGGTGGCTTGGCGCAGCTGGTAAAGAATCCGCCTGCAACGCGGGAGACCTGGGTTCCATCCCTGGGTAGAGAAGATCCTAGAAGCTGAGGGCTGAAATAAGAGGATAAGGAACTGATGGACTTGTTCACAGAGGGCAAAGAATCCAGGAATAGACTCACTGTCAGACACAGCAGCATTCAGGCGCCCACCCCTCTCCAGATGGGAAGGACTGCTGCATAATGACACCCAGAGAGCCCACCCGTCTGCTAAGCCCCCTCCTGCAAGTCTTCCGCTACAGAGCCCAGCACAGAGTACAGGCGAAGACGGTCATTCATGCACACACCGACAGACTACAGATGCATGCACACATCTGGAGGGGCTCGAAGCCCACAAACACACACCTACACGGTGCTCACACGGGCGCGCACACACAGGATCCAGAGGCACGCACACAACCTAAAGGATGATCCCAGGATCCATAGGCACATCACATACCAAAAAGTCACTAGCACCTTCACTAGGGGTGCGTGTACATACCTAGAGGGCGCTCCCAGGCGCAAACGCACATTGGCACCTAGGTTTTCACACCAGCGCACACCCCGAGGACGCAGACGCACGCCTAGGGGGCGCTCCCAGGGCCCACGCACACACGCACGCACACACATCCCTGCCCTGTCTCCCGCCCGCCTCCGCCTCCGCCTTCGCCAAGCCGAAGAGCGCCAGGCGCCCTTCCAGGCCGGTGCGGGGAAAGCCCGCAGCCCCCCGGGCGGGCGGCGATCCAGGCGTCTCCGGGCCTGGGCGGGAGCCCGGAGGTGCGGCCGGCATGGAGGCGCTGCTGCTGGGCGTGGGGCTGCTGCTGGGCGCCTACGTGCTTGTCTACTACAACCTGGTGAAGGCCCCGCCGTGCCGCGGCCTCGCCAGCCTGCGGGGCCGCACGGCCGTAGTCACGGGTAAGTGCTGGCTGGCGGGCAGAGGGCGGGGAGCCGGGACAGCCGGGCTGGGGCCCGACGCCTCAGCTCGGCTCCTGCCCACCTTCCCAGGCGCCAACAGCGGCATCGGGAAGATGACGGCACTGGAGCTGGCGCGCCGGGGAGCGCGCGTGGTGCTGGCCTGCCGGAGCCGGGAGCGCGGCGAAGCGGCTGCGTTCGACCTCCGCCAGGTGAGGGAGGGCGGGGCCAGGAGGAGGCGGGGCCTGGCGGGGAGGGCGGGGCCTGGCGGGGAGGGCGGGGCCTGGCGGGAGGGTGAACAGAGGATGGAAACACCGAGGAAACAGACCGAAAAGAGCTGGACGTGGGGCCGAGGGTATCCAGTCCCTTAAAGGACAATGCAGCCCAGTTCTCCAAATGGAGAAGAGGGTGCACAGGTGCTCTGGCCACACAGCGAAGGGACACCAGATCTGAAGGAAGTAATTGCTGTTCTAAGACATTTAAGAATCAGTGGAAGTTACTCTAATGAAAGTCGGAAAGAGAACAGCAGAGGGAACAGCATATGCAGAGGCCCTGAGGCAAGATAAATGGTCTGATTTGAGAAACTGATTGAGAGGTTTAATGAGGCTGGAGCACGGAGTATGGGGAGAAGGGGCAAAAGGAAGGGGCTGAACTCTCTGAGCCAGGGCCAGGTTCTGAGGGCCCTTATAGACCCTACTGAGGAGATCAGATTTCATAGAGTGGACAGTGGAGATCCAATGAAGTGTCCTCAGCAGGGGCTGGACTGTCAGAATAACCTTTGGGAATGAACCCCCAAGTGACTGTGTGAGACCTGGTTTGTAGGGGGTAAAAGTGGGTTGGAGGAGACCAGTGAGTAGTCCGTTGTAGATTTTAGGGTAACGATAACAGGCAGAGGGTATGATGATATTTTAATAATAATAGCAAGTACAAAAAAAAAAAAGCAAATGCCTACAGAGTGGTGACTACATGCCAGGCAGTGTTCTAAAGAATTCTAAAGATTTTACATATATTAACTCACTTAATCCTCACAATAACTCTATCAGTACTGTTATTATTTCCATTTTACAGAGAACTAAGCCTCAGAAAGATTAAGTATCTTGCCCAAGGTATCACTCTAATAATAAGCAAAGTCAAGATTTGCATCCAGCATCCACACACTTATCCACTACATTCTAATGCCTGGAGCAGATCTTAGTAGAAGGAGCTGAACTCTCAGAATTTGGTGCCTGGGGAGAAGGAAGACGAGAAGGGTGCGTATGACAGGCCACTTCTTGCCGCTCCACAGGAGAGTGGGAACAATGAAGTCATCTTCATGGCCTTGGATTTGGCCAGTCTGGCCTCCGTGAGGGCCTTTGCCACTGCCTTCCTGAGCTCCGAGCCACGGCTGGACATCCTCATCCACAATGCCGGTGAGGGCAGCCGACCTGCGGGGGGGCGGGAGGGTGCCCAGGGGCAGCCGACCCTTCCAGGCAGGCTTGGCTGAGGGACTGGTAAACATGTGGGAAGGATGCCCCCTACCACCATCTCACCTGGGGGACGCTGAGGCTTCCGAGAATCCCTCTGGAGCAGTTGCTCACACCTAGCCCCTGCCCCAGGGATAAGTTCCTGCGGCCGGACCCGGGAGCCCTTTAACCTGCTGCTGCGCGTGAACCACATCGGCCCCTTCCTGCTGACGCACCTGCTGCTGCCCCGGCTCAAGACGAGCGCCCCCAGCCGTGTGGTGGTGGTCTCCTCTGCCGCCCACCGCAGAGGCCGCCTCGACTTCACACGCCTGGACCGCCCAGTGGTGGGCTGGCAGCAGGAGCTGCGGGCATATGCCGACAGTAAGCTGGCCAACGTGTTGTTCGCCAGGGAGCTTGCCACTCAGCTTGAGGGCACTGGTGTCACCTGCTATGCAGCCCACCCAGGTGAGGTTCGGCTCTCTGGCTGCTTTGCTTCATTCTTATTCCCCCTCTCCCATCCTCGCCCCCTCCCCTGCTCCCCCAGCCTCTCACTGAGCCACAGAACCTCAGAGCAGGAAGGAAGCCTGGTCCAGGGAGAGGCCCGTTCCTTGCTGATCTTGAAGCCTGGCTCTCCTTGTCTGGGTTTTTCCTCTCACACCACAAGTTCAGATGCTGACGGCTGGGTAAGGCATGGCAATGAGGAAGGCCTAGGTTCTCACCCCAAGAAACCATCTGCATGACTGAACTGATGATGTTAGCTTATAATTACTCATTCAGGAAGCATTTACTGAGTACCTACTATGTTCCAGGCATTAATCTTGACACAGGGAATGTAGTAGTGAGCAAAACAAAGACCTCATCCTTATAGAGTTTACATTCTACTTTATAGAAGGAGACAGCTAATAAATATATACAATGACAGGTGGTGTTTAAAGTGCTGCAGTGAAAGATAAGACAGGGTAAGGGGACTAAGAAATGACAGAGTTGGCAAAAGAAGAAGAAAAAAGAAATGACAGGGGGTGCTATGTTTATCTATGGCAGTCAAGGAAGATATAACTGAAAAGGCGACATCTGAGTAGAAGCTTAAAGGAAATGAATGACCTATAAGGCATTCTAGGGAGAAGAGTAAAAGAACAGTGTAAATACCAAGTGCAAGGGTCCTGAGGCAGAAGTGCCTGGTGTGTTTAAGAAAGAACAGAGAGCCTGCTGTGGCTGGAACAGAGTGAGGAAGGGAATGTGGCAAAAGATAAGGTATAGAGATAGGCTGGGTCATCCAGGGTCTAGGGGTCCACTGGAAGCATTCTTACAGTTTGAGTGATTTTACTAATTAGTAAGACCCATTCCTGAGGTGTTGGAGAAGACTCTTGAGAGTCCCTTGGACTGCAAGGAGATCCAACCAGTCCATCCTAAAGGAAGTCAGTCCTGAATGTTCATTGGAAGGATTGATGTTGAAGCTGAAACTCCAATACTTTGGCCACCTGATGCAAAGAACTGACTCACTGGAAAAGACCCTGATGCTGGGAAAGATTGAAGGCAGGAAAAGGGGATGACAGAGGATGAGATGGTTGGATGGCATCACTGACTCAATGGACATGAGTTTGAGTAAACTCCCAGAGTTGGTGATGGACAGGGAGGTCTGGCATGCTGCAGTCCATGGGGTCGCAAAGAGTCAGACATGACTGAGCGACTGAACTGAACTGAACTGAAGACTCATCCCTGCCTTAGGGAACGAGTTGCCGGATAACAAGATCTGCCTGACACATAATACTATACCAAATATTAGACAATCATTACCTAAGGCTCCTTAAAATTATAATAGAGATAACAATAATTACAGCTAGCCATTATTACACTCCATATCTCTATATCCAAAGCAGTGGCTGGTCCACTGTTCTGTTCAGTTCAGTCGCTCAGTCATGTCCGACTCTTTGCGACCCCATGAATCGCAACACGCCAGGCCTCCCTGTCCATCACCAACTCCCAAAGTTGACACAAACTCATGCCCATCGAGTCGGTGATGCCATCCAGCCATCTCATCCTCTGTCATCCCCTTCTCCTGCCCCGAGTCCCTCCCAGCATCAGGGTCTTTTCCAATGAGTCAACTCTTTGCAAGAGGTGGCCAAAGTATTGGAGTTTCAGCTTCAGCATCAGTCCTTCCAATGAACACCCAGGACTGATCTCCTTTAGGATGGACTGGTTGGATCTCCTTGCAGTCCAAGGGACTCTCAAGAGTCTTCTCCAACACCACATCAAAAGCATCAATTCTCCGCACTCAGTTTTCTTCACAGTCCAACTCTCACATCCATACATGACCACTGGAAAAACCATAGCCTTGACCAGATGGACCTTTGTTGGCAAAGAGTAATGTCTCTGCTTTTTAATATGCTATCTAGATTGATCATAACTTCCCTTCCAAGGAGTAAGCATCTTTTAATTTCATGGCTGCAGTCACCATCTGCAGTGATTTTGGAGCCCCCCAAAATAAAGTCTGACACTGTTTCCACTGTCTCCCCATCTATTTCCCATGAAGTGATGGGACCAGATGCCATGATCTTCGTTTTCTGAATGTTGAGCTTTAAGCCAACCAACTTTTTCACTCTCCTCTTTCACTTTCATCAAGAGGCTTTTTAGGTCATCTTCACTTTTTGCCATAAGAGTGATGTCATCTGCATATCTGAGGTTATTGATATTTCTCCCAGCAATCTTGATTCCAGCTTGTGCTTCTTCCAGCCCAGCGTTTCTCACTATATACTCTACATGTAAGTTAAATAAGTAGGATGACAATATACAGCCTTGACGTACTCCTTTTCCTATTTGGAACCAGTCTGTTGTTCCATGTCCAGTTCTAACTGTTGCTTCCTGACCTGCATACAGGTTTCTCAAGAGGCAGGTCAGGTGGTCTGGTATTCCTATCTCTTTCAGAATTTTCCACAGTTTATTGTGATCCACACAGTCGAAGGTTTTGGCGTAGTCAATAAAGCAGAAATAGATGTTTTTCTGGAACTCTCTTGCTTTTTTGATGATCCAGCGGATGTTGGCAATTTGATCTCTGGTTCCTCTGCCTTTTCTAAAACCAGCTTGAACATCTGGAAGTTCACAGTTCACATATTGCTGAAGCCTGGCTTGGAGAATTTTGAGCATTACTTTACTAGCGTGTGAGATGAGTGCAATTGTGCGGTAGTTTGAGCATTCTTTGGCATTGCCTTTCTTAGGGATTGGAATGAAAACTGCCCTTTTCCAGTCCTGTGGCCACTGCTGAGTTTTCCAAATTTGCTGGCATACTGAGTGCAGCACTTTCACAGCATCATCTTTCAGGATTTGAAATAGCTCAACTGGAATTCCATCACATCCACTAGCTTTGTTCATAGTGATGCTTTCTAAGGCCCACCTGACTTCACATTCCAGGATGTCTGGCTCTAGGTGAGTGATCACACCATTGTGATTATCTGGGTCATGAAGATCTTTTTTGTACAGTTCTTCTGTGTATTCTTGCCACCTCTTCTTAATATCTTCTGCTTCTGTTAGGTCCATACCATTTCTGTCCTTTATCGAACCCATCTTTGTGTGAAATATTCCTTTGGTATCTCTAATTTTCTTGAAGAGATCTCTAGTCTTTCCCATTCTGTTGTTTTCCTCTATTTCTTTGCATTGATCGCTGAGGAAGGCTTTCTCATCTCTCCTGGCTATTCTTTGGAACTCTGCATTCAAATGGGAATATCTTTCCTTTTCTCCTTTGCTTTTCACTTCTCTTCTTTTCACAGCTATTTGTAAGGCCTTCTCAGACAAATATTTTGCCTTTTTGCATTTCTTTTCCATGGGGATGGTCTTGATCCCTGTGTCCTGTACAATGTCATGAACCTCCGTCCATAGTTCATCAGGCTGTCTATCAGATCTAGTCCCTTAAATCTATTTCTCACTTCCACTGTATAATCATAAGGGATTTGATTTAGGTCATAACTGAATGGTCTAGTGGTTTTCCATACTTTCTTCAGTTTAAGTCTGAATTTGGCAATAAGGAGTTCATGATCTGAGCCACGGTCAGCTCCCAGTCTTGTTTTTGCTGACTGTATAGAGGTTCTCCATCTTTGGCTGCAAAGAATATAATCAGTATGATTTTGGTGTCGACCATCTGGTGATGTCCATATGTAGAGTCTTCTTTTGTGTTTTTGGAAGACGGTGTTTGCTATGACCAGTGCATTCTCTTGGCAGAACTCTATTAGCCTTTGCCCTGCTTCATTCCGTACTCCAAGGCCAAATTTGCCTGTTACTCCAGGTGTTTCTTGACTTCCTACTTTTGCATTCCAGTCCCCTATAGTGGAAAGGGCATCTTTTTTGGGTGTGAGTCCTAAAAGGTCTTGTAGGTCTTTATAGAACCATTCAACTTCAGCTTCTTCAGCATTACTGGTTGGGGCATAGGCTTGGATTACCGTGATATTGAATGGTTTGCCTTGGAAACGAACAGAGAGCATTCTGTCATTTTTGAGATTGCATCCAAGTACTGCATTTCGGACTCTTTTGTTGACCATGATGGCTACTCCATTTCTTCTAAGGGATTCCTGCCCACAGTAGTAGATACAATGGTCATCTGAGTTAAATTCACCCATTCCAGTCCATTTTAGTTCGCTGATTCCTAGAATGTCGACATTCACTCTTGCCATCTCCTGTTTGACCACTTCCAATTTGCCTTGATTCATGGACCTAACATTATAGGTTCCTACGCAATATTGCTCCTTACAGCATCAGACCTTGCTTCTATCACCAGTCACATCCACAACTGGGTATTGCTTTTGCTTTGGCTCCATCCCTTCATTCTTTCTGGAGTTATTTCTCCACTGATCTCCATTAGAATATTGGGCACCTACCGACCTGGGGAGTTCCTCTTTCAGTATCCTATCAATTTGCCTTTTCCTACTGTTCATGGGGTTGTCAAGGCAAGAATTTGAAGGGAATTTGCCATTCCCTTCTCCAGTGGACCACATTCTGTCAGACCTCTCCACCATGACCTGACGGTCTTGGGTGGCCCCACAGGGCATGGCTTAGTTTCATTGGGTTAGACACGACTGTGGTCCTATGATCAGATTGGCTAGTTTTCTGTGATTATGGTTTTAGTGTGTCTGCCCTCTGATGCCCTCTTGCAACACCTACCGACTTACTTGGGTTTCTCTTTCCTTGGATGTAGGGTATCTCTTCACAGCTGCTCCAGCAAAACGCAGCCGCTGCTCCTTACCTTGGAGGAGGGGTCTACTGTAGGTGTTCATAATGTTTGCTGGTTAAACAAAGAACAGGAGGACTTTCCTGGCAGTCCAATGGTTAGGACTCCACATGTTTCCAATGCAGGGGATGAGGGTTTGATTCCTGGTTTGGAGAACTAAGATCCCACATGCCACTGAGGGAGGCCAAAAGATAAACAAAATACAAAGGAACAGGAAAAAAGATGGAGAGAGACAGATTGTTCCAGGCTAGGTTCTTGCCTGGAGAACCCCATGGAGAAGTCCATAGGGTCGAAAAGAGTCGAACACGACTGAAGTGACTGAGCAGGCAGTGACACAGCATGAGTAATATCTGGAAGATGAGGATGTGCAAGGAGCTTGGATGGAGAAGAAGTGGCTTGCTGTTAGAAACGAGTAAGGTCAGCTTATCAGGTCCCTAAGTACTACCTGGTTAACGCGACCTTGGCTTCCCTGGGACCGGACTCTATTCCCCACTCCTCCGTAGCCCTGTGCGTGCCTCTTACCCTAGAGCCTCAGCCACGGTCCTCTTCCCTGCTGCTTCCTTTCTTCCCGACCACAGGGCCAGTGAACTCGGAGCTCTTCCTGCGCCACGTTCCTGGATGGCTCCGCCCACTTTTGCGCCCCCTGGCTTGGCTGGTGCTCCGGGCACCGCGAGGGGGTGCCCAGACACCCCTATACTGCGCTCTGCAGGAAGGCATTGAGCCCCTCAGCGGGAGGTACTTCGCCAACTGCCATGTGGAGGAGGTGCCCCCAGCCGCCAGAGACGACCGCGCAGCTCACCGGCTGTGGGAGGCCAGCAGGAAGCTAGCAGGGCTTGGGCCTGGGGAGGATGCCGAATCGGATGAAGATTCCCAGCCTGAGGACCCGGGGACTCCATCCTCTCCAAGCAGCCCCCACCCCGAGGAGCCCATGGCTTCTGAACTCTACCCCAGCCCTCAGAATTCAACAGACAGGTCTACGGTCACGCGCCGGATTCCGGTTAAAGCTGAACTTGAGTCTCAGGCTTGCTAACTGCCCCCCTACCCCAAGACGCCCCCCCCCACACACACACACAGACCGGGCAGCTTTCCAGGGCACCTGGTGGGCCTTTAAAACCTTAGCGGTGTGCTGGGCCACGCACTGGGCATGGAGAGAATTCCATTTTCGCCTCCATGGTTACTTTCCGGGGTTTCCGAGGTATGTCCTGGACAGCTCGTTTCCTGGCGGAAGGAAATAAAGGGTGATTATTCCTCCCTGAAAGGAACGGTAACCCCAGATTGAGAGGTGGGACGTTAGTATATCTGCTGCGGCTTCTCAGGAATTTGAATTTCCTATTTCCAGGCCCTACTTTCAGGCATGCCGATCAGCCCCGGAATAGGGCCTGGGAATTTGTAATCGGATGCCCGGCCAACACAGGATTATTCAGCTGGGCCCCTTTCGACCCTGTAGCTAAGTAGTTTCATTATCCGCTTTTTGCATTAGCAGCCAGGTGAGGGACTCAGCCAGATAAGGGACTCGCCCAAGGTCGCCCAGCTAGTAAGCGCAGGGGCTGAAATTGGAACCCCCAGCGGGCTGGCTCCAGGGCCGACCGCTGTAAGGTGGGAGCTGGGAGGTGGAAGGTGAGAAAGGGCAGGGCGGTGGTTATTCAGGCGCCCAGTGGGAGTCGAGGGCACGCGATGTCTACCCCGTGCAATAAAACGTGTTGACTCCACGGGTAGCGCGCAGATCGCCTCGCAGGCCGCGCCGGCCCCGCCCTCCGCCGCCACACTTCCGGCGGCGCTGCGGCCGCGGAGGGGTGCGGGCGGGCGGGCGGCCGCTGGGGGTGGCCCGACAGGCTGGGCGAGGCCGGCGGTGCGGGCGGGCGCGCGCGGGGTGCGGTCCGGAGGCTGCTGTCCAGGTCTCCGCGACCCCCGGGGGGCCCCTCCGTCCCGCCGGCGCCATGGGCAATTGTCACACGGTGGGGCCCAACGAGGCGCTGGTGGTTTCAGGTGAGGGGGCCCCAAGGGAGGTGGGTCTGGAACGCCCGGCGCCGGGAGGGTGTTTGGGGCGGGGGCTGTACCTGGGAGGGCGGGAGAGGGGCCAGGCCGAGGAAGGGCTCTGAGGGCTGGGGGGCGGTGGGCAGTGCCGGGGGTGGGGCCTGAGTCTACGGTAGCTCCGGAGACCCCTCCCAGGAGGGACCCCCACTCTCCGTGCTCCGCTCCTTAGGGCACCGGCCAGGCGCTCCCCCCACCTCCGCGCCCTGCGTGTTTGCCCGTGTTTATTCCCTCGTTTCCTTTCTCCGCCTCCTCCTTTGGGCAGGGTCTCCCCTGTGGCCTAGAGGATCCCGAACCGAAGCCTTGGGGTTCCGGGAACACTGCCTGGCTGGATGCCAGCGCCCGGAACGAGGGTTGGGTGGGTCGCAGGTGCCTGTCTGGGGAGGGTGGCGGACCTGGATCCTTAGGTTCTGGGCACAGATCCGTTAATTCCGAGCAGGCTGAGGCTTGCCAGGCTTTACTGACACTGCCCGCCCCGGAGACGCGGGTGCGGCCTCTACAGGTTGAGAAACCTGGCTCCGGGCTGTGTTGCTCTTGGTTGCAAAATGCTGCAGACTCCAGAATTTCTGTTGCGCTTAGGCGGGAAGGGGGCTCCGCAATGTTGGGGGAGGGAGAGAGGTCTTGCCATAAGGCTACTATTTAAATCGTGTATTTGGATGTTTTGGGAAGTGGCAGAAGCCTTTCAAGCCACCAGTTTGTGCAGCCAATGGCGCGGGTGCTGGGGAGAAGCCCGTGTTTCCCCGACAGCGAGGAGGCCTGTAGCTGCAGGAAACGCTCATATCCTACTTCCCACTGTCAGTATGGATTCTCCACCTGTGCACAGAGTTGTTAGGACCAGCTGCAGAACTGAGCAGAAGAGGGTGGGCTGGACCAGGGCTTGTTGCCACTCACTTTGCATTGGGAACTTTCATGGACTTTGGTTCAGTTTGGATCTCAAAGTGATCTCTGCCCTGGGACAGGAAATCGTAAATCTCTCTGATTAGGACCCTACTCCTGTGGGGAAATTAAGATCCTTCACTTCCCTGGCACTTCCCTGGCTGTCCAGTGGTTCGGACTCCGTGGTTTCACTGCAGTGACCCGGGGCTTGATCCCTGGTCAGGGAACTAAGATCCCGCAAGCCCTGCGGCACAGCAAAAAAAAAAAAAAAAAAATCTTTCACTTCCCTGAAAACTAGAGAAGATAGCATTGGGGTCGCCAGGGAGACCCGCAGAGAGCACTGAGGCCAAAGCTGCTCCTCTTCTCAGACCTGAGCCAGTCTCCCAGCCTCCACTCCTAAAGGTTTTTAGAAAACTGAATCTGTGCTCGCTTCGGCAGCACATATACTAGAAAACTGAATCTACATCACACTTGTATTTTTTTGTGGTATTTCTCTCTAGAAGCCCAGACTCTGGGCCAAGGAGAAAAAGCTCCAGTTTTGTCTTTGTGGCAATCCTGAAACTGAGGGGCAAAAAGAACCCCTAAGACAGGCTGCTCCGTGCCTTCCAAGTTACCAGGGTACTCTAGCCAGAGGCCAAGGCAATGCTAACTTCGAAGCTGTTTTAGGGGTGCAGCGAGGAGGCCACAATGAGAATTAAGAGAGCTGAAGTCGAGGGAGGGTGGAAGAGGAGAGAGAGAAAGATGATGCCCAGCATAATAGTACCTTGGGATTTGAGATGATCGAACTGCACTGTGGCTCTCGCTAGCATGTGGACTTCCAGTCCTGTTCCCTACACCCCATTAGTTGGACCTGCATCAAAGTCCAGGTGGCTTCCATGGTGGCTCAGCTGGTAAAGAATCTGCCTGCAATGCAGGAGACCTGGGTTCGATCCCTGGGTTGGAAAGATCCCCTGGAGAAGGAATGGCTATCCACTCCAGGATTCTGACCTGGAAAATTCCATGGACTATATAGTCCATGGAATTGCAAAGAGTCATGACTGAGCGACTTTCACTTTCACTTCTAAGTCCAGGGGCATCTCACGAAGCCTGCTTTCAGAAGGAGGATGTTGATGTATATCATGATCATCTTTTCCACTTGAAGAGTATGGAGGTTCTTCTTGTCTATCCTCCCTTCTTTCTGTAATACACAATTTTTTTTCTCTGTTTCTACTTTTGGGGAATCCAAACACCATATACCTTTCTCTTATCTCTACAGTAGGTCAAAAATTATTAACCTGGAGTTTGTGGATAGAATTTAGAGGTCTTTGCATTTGATAAGAGGAAAATAGTACATTTTTATTTACACTAACCTAAACTGAAAGTTAGTGCTTCCTATGATTATTAATGTCGGCAACAATCCATGATAGGATTAGCAGATATTTTCCTACCATACTGCCTTTGTTGCAGGTATGGTGAAAATCATTTATATTCATTGCTACTTTGTTTTTTTTTTCATTGCTACTTTGATATTAAGCCAGTTATTAAATCTACCACAAGATCTTACTATTTAGTAACATACATGTTACTGTGTATCACATAGCACACATATATAACTTTAAATATTTGTTTCTTATGTATCTTATTTTATGCATTTATGAACATTCAGGCTTTGCCAGACTACTAAGGGAGGGATTTGGGCTCAAAAAATGCCCCGTGTGTGAGAGTTCCCTGATGGTCCAGTAGTTAGGATTCAGCACTTTCACTGCCCAGTTCAGTCCTGGTTGGGGAACTGAAATCCCAAAAGCCCTGCAGTGCGACCAAAAAAAAAAAAAAATCTGCCTTGTAGAGTAGAGTTGTAGGTCTTCTTGACTAGTAGGAATGAAAGAGTAGAAGAGGGGCAGGAAGGAAGGGAGTGTTCCTGAGGAGGCAGACAGATGCTTGTGTTTGGGGAGGGCTAAGAGTGAGGCAGAATCTATGACGGGATATTTTGTGATCCTTCAGCTTGGTTGAGGACAGAGCAAAGGAAAGTGGGTTGGGTTAGAAGAAGTGAGATAAAATTAGGAGGATTTTCTCCAGGTCTGGAGACAGTAAGAACTGGGGAGGTCAAGGAAGGGTCACCTAAGAGTCCTCTTTTGGGAGTGGTCCCCAGGGTGACCAGGAAGCTGGGAGGAAGATGCCTTCCAGGGGAGGAGGCTGCTGGGGGTGGGGCAGCCAGGCAGCCCCAGCTTCCTGTTGTTGCTACCCCTGGGAACCTGGCCATGTTACCCTTGGCCGAGGCCCAGCCTGAGCTGTGGCAGCCTGCTCCCAAGGTCAAAGAATAAGTTAAAGGTAAAAAAAAAAAAGGCTACTCCCTCCAGTATTCTTGCCCGGAGAATTCCATGGACAGGGAGCCTGACAGTCCATGGGGTCGTACAGAGTCGGAAACAACTGAGTGACTAATGCCTCACTTTTCACTTCAAAGCGTGGATTCCCACCCTTGGCCCCCTCGCCCCCATCCCACCCTGCCACCACCTCCTCCCCCTGCCCCCTGAAAAGTGCCCTGGGTTGGTTGGAGAAAGCTGTGCCACTGTGCCCCAGCCCCCACCAGGCCAGAAGAAGTGGAACAAGCTATGGTTTTTGATCCTCTTCCAGTTTCACTGGATCCCGAGATGGTTTTGGTTTCAAGTTGACTGCTGGTCCTCAGAGGCCCCTCTCACCCCTTCCCCAGGGCAGAGCAGCCTGCAGTGGCTTACCTTGAGCGGCAGTCCTGTGAACAGGTGTTTCCAGAGACCTGCGACCTCTTCCTGACCCTGTTCACACTGCGGGGATGCTCCGGCTCCCTGGACCTCAGGCTCAGCTGCTTGTACACCATGCACAGGGCAGACCCAGGAGACAGGGTGGGCTGCCCAGTGGGCGGTATCACTTGCCAGCTGTCTATCTTGGCAGGCCCGCCACACTTGTGGGATCTTTGTTCCTTTGTTGTTGTTCAGTCGCTTAATTGTGTCCGACTCCAACCCCGTGGACTGCAGCACACCAGGCTTCCCTGCCCTTCACTATCGCCTGGAGCTTGCTGAAATTCATGTCCATCAAGTCGGTGATGCCAGCCAACCATCTCATCCTCTGTCGCCCCCTTCTCCTCCTGCCCTCAATCTTTCCCAGCATCAGGGTCTTTTCCAGTGAGTCGGCTGTTCGCATCAGGTGGTCCCTCCACCTATCTAAAACTTCTCTCCAGTTCATGATTCTACTGTCTCTGTTTGGTTGTTGGCCTGACCACCCACCCAAACCCTGGCTCTTGACCTACACTGTCCAATATGGTAGCCATGAGGCACAGGTTAAGTTAATTAAAATTCATTTTCTCGGTTATACCCGCCAGATTTCCAGTGCTCAATAGCATATGTCCCGAATGGCTACTTTGTTGCACAACACAGCTGTGGAACATTTCAATCCAGAAGGACGTTCTCTTGGATAAGACTACTCTAGTAGTTACCCCCCCATGTCAGCCACTGTGTGTGGCCTAGGTCACTGCAAGAGGCTGCTTCTCCCCAGCCTCCCTGACCCAGGTATCTTTCTCCTTGTGCAAAGTGGGGTTTCTAAAATGCAAATATAAGTGTGGTTTCTTAGCTTAAATGACTTCCCCATCACTCAGGCACATACACACAGCACTCCTGCTTGGCCCAATGCCTACAGTACTCTGCAGTCTGCCCTCTGCCCCTCTACCTGGCTTTGTCTCCTGCCATGAGGCCTCAGAGACACTAACCCAGCTACACAAAACTACCCCTGACCTTTGACCTTGGGAGGCACTCACCCTAGACTTTCCTGAAAACCCAAGTTCGTGAATGCGGAAATGACGCCCACTGGCTTTTTGCCGTCACATTTCCTCTGAATCATCTGTTTCTGCCAGGGAATAGCCCCTCTTGCTTTTACTAAGTTTTCTTGAACTTGTTGATTAATTTCGGCATCAGCAGGAGGGTTTGCAACAAGAATTTCAAGAACTGATTTTTCTCGTTTCTGTATAGAGATTGTGCGGAGCTCATCCGCGAAGTGAATCTGGGTGGTGGCCAAATTCAACGGGCTATTTAGTTGATACATAGTTTCCAGGAGTCATTTCCTTTTTAGGCCTTTTCCCTTTCTCTCACTTTTCCAGTTGGTACCATGAGTTGGCTTCTGTTTTGAGGTCTTGCCTTCTTCCCCATCCGCTCCCATTCACTCTGAACCCCTGGGAACCAGCCTCACTGAGAGGTCTGCTGAGCGTGAGCCAGCCCCCACCCCCACCCCGCCCCTTGGCTCATAGACTCCCTTGCATTAGCCTTCCACCTGCATTCCCTCTGGGACTGATCCCATCCTGGTAACAGGCCAGTCGCATGGTACAACCATCAGCTCAGGAAAAGGTCACTCCTCGAAGTCCCACCTCTTTTAAGAGAGGAACCGTACCTTCCTCTCTGTTTCCCTAGCACAGAAAAGTACTTGTTTGCTGAAGTGATGGTTGAATCAAAGATGGAAGCTCCCCTGTTCATTCTTGTCCACTGACTTTGTTCTCTGAAAGCACATACATTCTGAACCACTCATTGTCTCCCCTCATTTCTGTGCAAATTGCCTGTCTAACAAACTAGATCCCAAGACCTTAAGGGCCTGTCTCCGATTTATCTGTAACCTCCACACCTGGTGCCCAGTGGTGGGAGTTGTCAATGCAGGCGAAGGCCCAGCATTGCTGATGGAGGTGTTGGAGGGTAGACAGACCCAAGGACTGACTGACCAGACATGGTTTGCTTTGCTCTCCAGGGGGCTGTTGTGGTTCCGACTATAAACAGTATGTGTTTGGCGGCTGGGCCTGGGCCTGGTGGTGTATCTCCGACACTCAGAGGTAAGGGCCTGGGGGCTGGTGATTGGGCATCCTGGTGGGCAGGGGAGAAGACGGTCTCCATCCTTACCCCCTTCTTGCCACTTGAGTTAAAGCATCTACCACCTGCTGCATTCCACTCTAGTTGGGGGGACCTCCCAAGAGGCAGGTAGAATGGGTTACATGGGGAGGCAGGAGGGCTGTCTGTGGGCAGCTCCTCCATGGTGGGTGTGCTTTTTCCAGTGAGAGCATCACTTCTGCCCCAGGTAATTCAGGCAGAACCCTAACGCCCTGATTCTAGCTCAGAATTATTCACGAAGCCTTAATAACACACCTGTTTGAAGTGGTCCTAGGAAGGAGGAAAGGCTTGAAGAGACCCCTACCTTGTGCAGGCCCCGGGACAATGCAGGCAGGGGCTAAATGGCAGACGATGGTTACAGTCTGAAGGGGCTTTGTGTATTAAAGACAAAGGATGCAGATCTAAGGAATTGGCGCTGGGGTTGGGCAAGATGGGTCTGGACCTCCCCCGTCAGTCTGGAGAGACTTAGAAGGGGAAAGGAGATTTCAGCTCAGGCTCTACCTGCTGGCTTTCCCAGAGCGCGGGGCAGGGTTAGACTTGGGCCCAGGCCTCTCCTGTTCCCCTCACTTCCCACCCAGGAGGAGATGAGGCTGGCCGGCCACCTCTCCACCAGCACCCCCTTCCTGATTATGGGAGATCAGGGGAGGAGGGGCCCAGATTCTTCCAGGCCAGGAGCCAGGCGACACAGGCGGCAGAGCTATGAAAGCGCAGGCCCATTGGCAGGGGTGGGAGTCCTGTGAAGGGGAAGCAGTGGAGATTCCAGTGGAAATCCCCCTGTATCTCATCTTGGCAGAGAGACGCCTCATGGCTTCAGGGAGCTGCTAGTGCTTAGGGCTCCGGGGAGTCTGAGGGTGCTGGCTCAGGTCAGGGGTATGGGAAGCATGTCACAACGATTTAACTTCTCTGATCTCTCTTAACCCCCTCCACCCATCTCTCCCCACTCTTGGTCCTGCCTCAGTTGAGGGATCTTGGGAAACTCTTCTGGCCCAAGGTCAAAAGTGTTCAGAAAGTAATTAGTAGCAGTCACAACTTCCTCTCTGGATCCTAAGACTCCTGAGGGGGCCAGCTGGCCTGGCAGGTGCCATGGGCCCCTCTCCAGAGACACTGTCACCTCCCACCCCACACCCACAACACTGTCCTGGGACAGCAGAGTGTCTTGTCCAAGCCCCTCAACCTACGGCCGGGCCTAGAGAGTGTCCACTTGCCCCGAGACCTGTCCTGCCAGGCGTCCGCTGCCGGGTACTGCTGACACCCCAGAGGCCCTTTCTCCACACTGTGGTTGGTCCCCTCCCGCTTCCTGCTCCCGGGAGCAGAGCCCCAAGACAGCAGGGCCCGGCTTCTCTGATGGCAGGTTTGAAGGTGAGGGGTAGGGGGCCTTGTGCCTCATCCTAGGAGCGGCTCTTCCACACCCAGGCTCAGCCTTCCAACCCACTCTTGGGTTCCTGGGGCGGCCCCTTCCCTGTTCCCTAGCCTGCTGCAGGGGCGTCTCCCCCAGCGGGAACTTTTGTTTCCCCAAGGCCAGCAGGCGCTTCCTAGGTCAGAGTGGAGGTCTAGGTTTCTAACTCAGCCTCCCATTTGAGGTCCTTTCCACAGCCATCCTCCATGTCACCTGCCCTCAGTGTCAGCTGTCCTTCTCCAGACCCAGTGAGGTCTGTCCCGCTGCCCTTTGCTGCCATGTCCTGTCCTGTCCTGAGGCCCCATGGGGGCAGCTGTCTCTCCCTAACCTGGGCGGTTCCTCCACTTCTGGCATCTGAGCTGCAGCCTCCCTCCTCCCCACTCCTTCCCTCCTCCTCCCTCATCCTTTCTCCCCTCTCCCCACTCCCTCCCCTCCTCCTCCTCCCCTCCCTTTCTCTCCCCTCTCTTTCCAGTCTCCCTCCCCTCCCCCCTCTTCCCCCTCCCCCACCCTCCCCCTTTCCTGTCTCCCTCGTCCTCCCTCTCTCCTCCCCTCCCTCCGCGCTCTTTCCTGTCTCCCTCCCTCCTCTCCCTCCCCTCCTCCCCCTCCCCACCCCCCTTTCCTGTCTCCTTCCTGTCTCCCTCCCTCCCCACCTCTTCCCCCTCCCCCACCCTCCCCCTTTCCTGTCTCCCTCGTCCTCCCTCTCTCCTCCCCTCCCTCCGCGCTCTTTCCTGTCTCCCTCCCTCCTCTCCCTCCCCTCCTCCCCCTCCCCACCCCCCTTTCCTGTCTCCTTCCTGTCTCCCTCCCTCCCCACCTCTTCCCCCTCCCCCACCCTCCCCCCTTCCTGTCTCCCTCCCTCCCCCACCCTCCCCCTTTCTTGTCTCCCTCGTCCTCCCTCTCTCCTCCCCTCCCTCCCCCCTCTTTCCTGTCTCCCTCCCACCTCTCCCTCCCCTCCTCCCTCCTCCCCGCTCCCCCACCCCCCCTTTCCTGTCTCCTTCCCTCCCTCTGTCCTCCCCTCCCTCCCTCCCCCCTCTTTCCTGTCTCCCTCTCCTCCTTCCCCAAAGAGAGCTTGATTGGTGCCTGTCTGAGCTGGGTCTGCTGTCCTCTTGGCCTGAGGGTGCTGTTAGGGAGGGGCCGGAAGGCAGTCAACCTGTGTACATGCGCATGGCTGGAGAGTGGGGGGACCCACATTGCTTCCTGCTCCCCGTCCCCCCACTCCACTTGCTTCTGCTCCTTCACCTCAGCCTCTGCCCTCCTTCCCTCTGGTTTAAGGAAACCTTCTGCGCTGTCCACAGGCTGGCCTCTACCTGGTCCAGCACCCAGCACATACGGGCACAGACCCTGCCCCAGGGAGGCCCAGGTAGCTTCCACGCACCTTTTCTTTGCAGTGACTCTGCCTGTGCCCAACTCTGGAAGTGAGTGACTCCCAGTTGTCCCTGTGAATATTGGCAGGGGTGCACACACTTCCCCCCCTCCCCAGCCTTCCTTGACACATCCCACCCCCGCAAATCAGAAAATCCAAAAATCTCTTTAGACTCTTCTGGGCCTAAATTGCCTTCTTAGGGATAAGTAGCACAGGCCTTGAGGGGTTGTGCCCTGAACAGGATTCGGTATTTGCTGCGACTCATGAACCCTCAGAGTGGCCTCCCCCAACCCCCACCCCAGCTTCTGGAAACACAGGTTTGCCTCTGTCTGGAGCTCGGAGGAGCTCAGGCTGCCAGCCAGACAGTGCCAGGAGTCTCCTGGGAAAGTGAGGCAGTGGGTAACCCCGGTGCCCTGCGCACAGGCAGCCTCCCACCTCAGGTCACAGGCCCAGGGTATCAGCAGGCTTTACCTCCAGCCCGTTGGCTTCTCACTGGAAGGGTGTGGGGGCTGGAGAAGAGACCCAGAGGCCTCAGGCCAAGGCAGGGGTGTCTCTGGCCCCCTACTTCCCGGCCTGGCCTAGCCGAGCTGGCAGTGGGGGATGGGAGCTGAAGTTTTGAGAGCGACCCCACCCCCAGCCCCCAGGCCTCAGGCATCCAGTGCTTGTCTGGTAACCACTGTGTGTGTTTGCTGTGTCCCCTCCTCCCCCTTCCTGTCCCTACCTTTCCCTCCCTCCCCCGGCTGCTCCTCAGACTGTCTCTGGAGGTTATGACCATCCTGTGTCGCTGTGAGAATATTGAGACGTCGGAGGGGGTCCCGCTATTCGTAACAGGGGTTGCACAGGTAATAACCCGCCTGCTTCCTCCTCTGTGTCTAACCTCCTCTCTTCCCGCCCTGCGGGGGCCTGGCAGACTCCAGATGGACTCCCTTTTCCTGAAAGCGTGCCTCCCTGCCCTCTGCTCCCACCACCACTGCTCTGGATGGCCGTGCGGAGCCTCTAGGGTCCCCCACTCCCTTGTCCGGGCTCATGGGGGGCTGCGAGTGGGGAGAGAGAGTGAGGGCTTCTGGGAGCTCTGCCCAAGTCTGCCAGGGGTGTCCTTGGACACCAAGCCTACATTGAGAGTAAGCTGAGGTAGGAGAAGACACAGGCGCTTTTGTGACAGAGGTGGACTGCCCAGGTCGGGCGGGGTCTGTCCTAACAACTCCTGCCAGAGTCCTAGTCCTCCAGGCATCACAGAGCTTCTTGCCCGCGCCTTCTCCAGGCCGACACCCTCCTCCCTGCAGCGCCAGGAAAATGGGCCCCCTGGGGAGTTATGTTTACCCCAACCTCCTTGACAGGCCTGGGCAAAAAGAGCCATGGCCATTCCCTGCCCCTGATTCTCTGTCGAGAGGCCTTTGAGCAGCTGTCTTTGTCACCAGACTTCAGCTTCCCCATCTGCAAAAGGGGGGAAGTCGAGCCCTCCCTGAGCCTTGTAGGAATATTAGAAAGGCAAGTAAAGTAATGTGAGGGTGCTCGCTTTGGGATTTTCAGAAAAGAAGTGCTTGAGGAATGCCATCTGTATCACAGACTTGATCTCACCTGGGAAAGCAAGCGACCTTCTGTCTCCCTCCTCACTGCCATGCAGCCATAGAGATGAAACCCTTTCCTGAGCCAGGGCATTTAGCAACGCAGGTTCCCAACTTCACTGGTCCATTTGCCAGCTCTCTGCTGAGCGTCTTGTCAGCTCCCAGCACAGCGGAGGCAGCAATGGACATCAGGAAGCCCCTGCCCCTCAGAGCCTGCATGCTGGCGGGTCCCCAGGCCAGAGGAGACCTACATGTCACCTTACCCATCCTCCACCCTCCCATGAAATTGTCCTTCAGCTCTCAGGCAAAACCTGGCACCCCCACACCCTGCCTCCCCACACCCTGCCTCTTATCCTTAATGGGGAAGAAGACTGTCCCCATTGCACCCACCACTCATCGCCATGGAAGGGCAGGCTTCAGGGCAGAGAAGAAGCCCAGAGCCCCTTTGCGTGGGATGCATAGGGGCCAGGCCTCCCTCGACACCCCACTTAGCAGGCTCGTCTCCCTCCAAGCCCACACTCCACTTGAAAGAGCTGCTGATACCCAGGTCCCTTTTCAACTGGGTGATATGGACCCTGAAAGACTCAGGTCATCTGGGCAGAACTTTTCTTGGTCCTGAAGCTCTAGCGTGACCCCAGCCTTTTCCTCCATTGGCCCCACCTGGCCCCAGCCCCAGAGAGTGGGCTTCCAGCCTTGGCCTGTTGCCAGGTAGAGGGATCCGGCAGGGCTCCCCCGGTGGGGCGGGATAAACACAGGATCACCTCCATCTTGGCCCAGCAGTGGGCATACCCCCAGCATGCCAGGTAGGAGGCAGCTTTCTCAGCAGCCTCAGGAACACCCTGGGGTGCTGAGCACGCCCAGGGAACAGGCAAAGGCCTCTGGGGGATGTTCAGATGGTACCCACAAACACAGCCTGGAGGACCAGCACTTATGTGCTGTCCCAGGACACACATAGCTACGCCAAGACTCTTGCCCACCCTTCCCCAGCAACCCCCTCCCGGCCCCCGGCCCAGACCACCCCCGACGACTACTCTACTTCCTTTTCCCGCTCTTCCAGCCAGGCTGATGTGAGCAGAGGACACATGTGCACGTGGGTGGCACATGACGCTCCTTCCGCTGAGCCATCTGCACCCCAGCCCCGCCTTCCCACCCCTCTCCTCCTCACACGCTCCCAGCTCCCACCCCTTGGAGAGCCCACCCCCCTCTGCCTCCTGCAGCAGGACCCCCTGGCCTGTCCCAGCCGGCGCAGTGAGATGTCAAAGTCTTTCCCCACACCCCAGGCCCTGGGCCCCCAGACCCATGGCCCCTGTTTTGCATTTCTTGGCAGGATTTCCCTAGAGATTATGACGTTGCAGCCCCGCTGTGAGGACGTAGAGACGGCCGAGGGGGTAGCTTTAACTGTGACGGGTGTCGCCCAGGTATAGTAACTCAGCAGCCCCGCGCATGTCCGTTGAGCTGCCTCGTCCCCACGCTGGGGTTTGGGGTGGGAACGAGGAAAGGCCGGCAGCCAAGGGCAGTCTCTCTCCAGCGGCCCCACCCCCGCCCACCCCCCTTCCCGGAGAGGGTCGTCGCCACCGGAACTTGCACTCAGCCTCTCGGCCACCCAACAGGACTAACAAGACACCCCTTCTCTCCCCAGCGGGCCAGCAGAGGACAGAAGCAGTGCTGAGGGCTCCTGTGTCACTAACCCCTCCCCGTTCTTTGCAGGTGTCGGAAATGCCAAGCCCCAGAACGCAGGCCTCCCCTGACCCCTGGTAGGGGGCTGCAGGGTGGGGACCAGAGGGTGAGGCCACGTGAGACCGGGCAGCTCTAGGCTCCGGAGTCAGAGCTGCGTTATATTCCCAGCCCGGTGACTGGGTGAGGGGCTTCCTGCTCTCCAGAGGTCCTCATGGGGCAGGTTCAGCCATTTCAAAGGCCCCTGGTGCAGGAGTGGCTGGCCTGGTGCCTTGGGGAAGAAAGAAAGGAGGATGCCCACCCCTGGTGATGGACTGCAGACCTGTCTCCTGCCCAGTCCTGGCTCTCTTTCCTAGTCTGTCTGTCTGCACCCCTGTTGCTCATTCTCCTTTTTTGCAGAGATCTGCAGGCTGAGGGGCCAAGGGTGGACTGGAGGGGTTGGGTGGGGGGAGGAACCCCGAATGCCCAGGAGAGAGGCCCTGGCAGAGCCTGGGGCTGCCAGTGAAGGTGAAATTTCTCAGTATGAGTTCCTCGTGTTTTCTCCCTGCTGGAGGCCTCAGCAGACCCCATCCACTCCCACCACCACTCCCTCCCCCTCCCCCCAGGCCTCCAGGTCCTGAAAAGGAGGGGAGGGGTACTGCCACCATCCTCCTGGGTCTGGGGCCTCTGTCTGCCTGCCTCCAGCCTGGCTCAGGCTCCTCTGTGACCACCGGCAGGTGAAGATCATGACCGAGAAAGAGCTCCTGGCCGTGGCCTGTGAGCAGTTCCTGGGCAAGAGCGTGCAAGACATCAAGAACGTCGTCCTGCAGACTCTGGAGGGACACCTGCGCTCCATCCTCGGTGAGGCCCTGCCTGACACAGGCACCCCTCTCCCTCTGCCACCTGCAAGGAGCCACACAGCATCCCTGAGCCAAGGCCAGGGAGGGGAGAGGGGGCCTTGGACAGGCAGGCCTGTCAGTCCCACTGAGAGGCTTCTTCAGAAAAGCTGACAGGTTTTCCGTCATGTATTTCCTTTCAAAACGTCAGGAGAGTCGAGTGAAGAAGAGGGTGTGGATATGGAGCTGACTGCCAGTCTGGTCAGGCACCTAGGGCTCTTTGGGGCATTTCTCCTCATCCTGCCCACACCCTGCAGGAGGAGACTCGGTGTTAGAAGAAACCCACCAGGGACTTCCCTGCTGGTCCAGTGGCCAAGACTGCGCTCCCGAGGCAGGGAGCCCAGATTGGATCCCTGGTCAGGGAACTAGATCCCACATGCCACAACTTAAGAGTTCACGTGCTGCCGCTAAAGATCCCACATGCTACAACGAAGACCCAGCACAGTCAGATAGAAAGAAACCTAGGAAGACTGAGCACAGACCGCGTGACCCCTGCCTACGCTCAGACCTCTCCCTGGCCACCTCCTCCCTTACCCAAGCTGGCTGGGCCCCTGGGGAGCCAGCCCACGATCCTTCTGCCCCCAGGGACCCTGACGGTGGAGCAGATTTATCAGGACCGGGACCAGTTTGCCAAGCTGGTGCGGGAGGTGGCAGCCCCTGACGTCGGCCGCATGGGCATCGAGATCCTCAGCTTCACCATTAAGGTGCGGTGTGGCGGGAAGGCTGTGGCCCCCGTGTCTATCCGTGCAGGGCGGGGGAGCTTGGCAGGAGGGGCCCCTTTATGCCTCTGACTATTCCCAGGGACGACTTGCCCTTCCCTCCCCAGGATGTGTATGACAAAGTGGACTATCTGAGCTCCCTGGGCAAGACACAGACGGCTGTGGTCCAGAGAGATGCCGACATCGGGGTAGCTGAGGCCGAGCGGGACGCAGGCATCCGGGTATGTGGGCTTGCCTTCCCGGCCCTGGGGACGAGGAAGTGCAGGGGCGGTGGGAACCCCAGTTACTCAGGGGGACCCTCAGCACCTGCCCCTCCTGCTCCCAGGAAGCCGAGTGCAAGAAGGAGATGCTGGATGTGAAGTTCATGGCAGACACCAAGATCGCCGACTCCAAGCGAGCCTTTGAGCTGCAGAAGTCAGCCTTCAGCGAGGAGGTCAACATCAAGGTGAGAAGCTGTCGGGCGTCCCGGGGTCGGGGCTCAAGGCCCAGGACTGTGGCGGCCAGCCTGTGACGTGCTGACCACCCTCGCCCTCCACAGACGGCTGAGGCCCAGCTGGCTTACGAGCTGCAAGGGGCACGCGAGCAGCAGAAGATCCGGCAGGAGGAGATTGAGATCGAGGTTGTGCAGCGCAAGAAGCAGATTGCTGTGGAGGCGCAGGAGATCCTGCGCACAGACAAGGAGCTCATCGCCACGGTGCGCTGCCCCGCCGAGGCTGAGGCCCACCGCATACAGCAGATCGCCGAGGGCGAGAAGTAGGTGCTGCTGGGGGTCCCGCTTTAGTCTGGCTCCTCTGCCACCCAGGCAACCCCTCCACTCCTGGCCAAGCTTGGAGGCCCCCATGCCAGCTTCCTCACTGGGAAGTAGGGGTAACCCACCTGCCCCATGGGATTGTTGTTAGGAAGACTGAATTAGGTGCCAGAGGTTTAAGGGCCTGGTGTGCTGCTTGGCACAGAGGGCACCCAGGTAGGTCCCCTCTCCAATCTGGCCTTTGGGACCCAGTGCCCTCTTCCAGGCCAGAACCAGAAGGCCAGGGCACTGCCCTCATGGGTCCCTCACCCCTGACACCTGCCGAAGTGGGGGGCTCGAGGGTTCGCTGGCCCTCAGGCGAGGCTTGAGAGGCCCCTGGCACTTCCCACTGACCCTGCCCACCCGTGACTCCCCCAGGGTGAAGCAGGTCCTCCTGGCTCAGGCAGAAGCAGAGAAGATCCGCAAAATCGGGGAGGCAGAGGCAGCAGTCATTGAGGCGAGGGGCAAGGCAGAGGCCGAGCGGATGAAACTTAAGGCTGAGGCCTACCAGAAATACGGAGACGCAGCCAAGATGGCCTTGGTGTTGGACGCCCTGCCCCGGGTAAGGCTCCCACCCCAGGCTGGGACTGGCTGGGCAAGTGCCGGACTTCTCTGGGCCTTGTCAGTAACACAGCGACAGGACGGCTGGGAGGATTAAATGGGGAAGTACTCAGCGGCATGGGGAAGAACTCTACAACAGGCCTAGGCTCATCCCTAACCCAGTGGACCATCTGACCTTTATTGCAAATAAGGGCCACCCAGGCTGCATTGGGATGATGTGAGGTGGAGATGGGAGGGAGAGATGCTGGATGGGGCAGGTGGATGGAGTCCGGGTAACAACCATCTCTCCCTCGATCCCGCCTCCTAGATTGCTGCCAAAATTGCTGCCCCACTGACCAAAGTCGATGAGATTGTGGTCCTCAGTGGGGACAACAGCAAGGTGACGTCAGAAGTGAACCGCTTGCTGGCCGAGCTGCCCGCCTCTGTGCACGCCCTGACGGGTGTGGACCTGTCTAAGGTGGGCGTCTCACTGTCTGCGATGGGTTGCCCAGGCAGAGAGGTGGGGGCCCTGGAGCCAAGGCCTCATGGCATCTCCCGTCCTTGCAGATACCGCTGATCAAGAAGGCCACCGGTGCACAGGTGTGAGGTCTCGGCGGCCCACACCCTTCAGCAGCCACCGCCCCCACCTTCAGCACCCGTTTTAATACCGCAGGGACAACGGGAACGTCACTGACTCTGGTGCCTTATTCTGTAGGGACCAGAAGTGCTGCGTGTTCAGGCCTCTGGCTGTCTTCCCTTCTCCTCTGTCTCTGTCTGTCTCCTCCCTCTTCTCCTCCATCCCTCACTTTCACTGCCACGAGTATCTGGTTTGTCTCTTGCACCCTTATCTCCTGTATGTCTCTTCCTTTGTCTGTCTTTTTCTCTCCCTCTCTCCTCACACCCTCTACACACATCATGTCGTTTAAATTGAAGATGTTTATTACAATCACCGTCTTGTCTGTCTGTGGGGGTGGCCCTGCTGCTCCCGAGAATCCTGGTGCCTTGAAGTTTTCTGTGCTTCTGTCCACCGCCCCCCCCCACCCCATGGCCCCGGCCAGAGCCTCAGCATGGGTGCAGGGATTCTGGGGATGACGGCCACCCTGCCCTCTCCTGGCCTGGTCTTCCCAGCCCAAAACCTGCCCCCAGGAAGTCCCCAGCCTCACCCACTCCAGCCCTTCTGGGCCCGGGTAGCTGTGGCTGCAGGCCCAGGGCCATGGCCCTCCGCCGACCCCTGCCCAGCCCCAGGCCTGCTCTCGCACCTCACCTCTCTCCCGCGCCCACGGGCACAGAGGCGAGGCCTCCTGTGTAGAGCAGCTCCCTTGGTTTACTACGGCCTTAGGAGGCCCCTGCTCGTGCTCAGGGAAGCCCCTTCCCTGGAGTGGGGCTTGGTCCCAACTCTGCTAAGCCTTTCTGGGATCAGGATCCAGCCCTTCTGGGGACTAGAAAATGTACAGACCCCCTTCCTACTAGGGCTGTGCTGCCCTGAGTATCAGGCTGGGCCCTTCCAGTGGGCAGAGCTGTGCCAGCCCTGTACAGAATCTAGTGCCGTAGGCTGGCTGGACTCCTTCCCCGCTTGTGCCGGCTTGCTTCCTGGCCAGAACCGATCAGGCTCCAGCCGTGGGGAAGCAGCCCGGTCCTCTGTCTCCTTGCCTCAGAGGAGGCAGAAGAGCCCAGGGCCCCAGCATCCTGGCAGGGACGCTGCGGGCGTCCTGTGGTCCTAGTCCCCTACCCCTCGCCCTGCCCCAGCCTGTGTAGCTGTTCCTGCATGTGGGTGCTGCATGTCCGGTCTGGGGCTTGGATGCTGCACTGCCCCGCTGCCTGTCCCTTCTGGTAAAATAAAGATCTGGTCATGCCCACGCCCTGTACCGTGCTTTTTGTGAGGAGAGAGACTGGAACCCACCCACAGACCCCTTCAGCCTAAAGGCTACACTTTGCCTGTTCTTCCACACCCTCGACACTTGGGGGCAGCAGCACCCTGGCCTTGCCCTCTTGGCTTCCTGGAGCAGGGCAGCCATTGCCCAGGTGCTGAAGCCAGATCTGAGCCCTTGGAGACCTGGCTACACTGCAGACACAAGGCGGAAGGGGCTGCCGGGTTCACTGCCCCTCTTGCCCATTCTGAGCCCCACTCGGTGCAACCAAAAAAAAAAAAAAAAAAGATGTATTGCAATACCATTTCTCTAAAATTGATCTATAAATTCAATATAATCCCAATCAAAATCCCAAGAAATTTTTAATCGACAGTAATTCTGAAGTTATAGGGAAATGCCAAAGGAATAAGAATAATCAAGACAAGCTTGAAAAAGAGTGAGGTGAGAGGATTCAAACTTAGACGTCAAGACATAAAAAAAAGTGAAAGTGTTAGTTGCTCAGTGGTGTCCAACTGTGTGTGACCCCACAGACTGTAGACGCCAGACTCCTCTTTCTATGGAATTGTCCGTGGCAACTGGAGTGGGCTGCCATCTCCTTTTTAGGTAATTAAGACTGTGTGATCCTGGCACGTAGTACACCAGTGATTACATTGAATAGAACAGAAAATCCAGCAATAGACCCACACTTATTTTATGACTAAAATGACAATGCAGAGCTGTGGGAAAAGGAAAGTCTTTTTGATAAAAGATACTGGAAATCCGGGGAAGAAATGATTCTTGACCTTGAACCTCACCTTGTACACAAAATCAGTTTCAGATGGATTGTAGATCTAAATGTGAAAAGTAAAATGGTAAAACATATAGAAAATAACAATATCGTCATGACCTTAGGATAATCAAAAAATTTTAAAACAATGCAGAAATCAATAAATATAAAAGAAGGAGCTCCCCAGTGGGAACTGGCACTTTTCATTGCAGTGGCCTGGGTTCAATGCCTAGTCAGGATACTAAGATCCTACAAGTTGTAGGATGCAGCCAAAAATAAAAACAATCAAGAATATCTTTATTAAAAGACACACTAAAAAAAATGAAAGACATACTAATCTCCAAGGAATTATGCATAGCAAAAAAAAAACCCAAAATATTATGTACTACATGTGAAAGTAAAAGTGTTAGTCATTAAGTTGTGTCCAACTCTTTGTGACCCCATAGACTGTAACCTGCCAAGTTCCTCTGTCCAGAGAATTATCCAGGCAAGAATACTGGCGTGGGCAGCCATTCCCTTCTCCAGGGATTCTTCCTGACCTGGGGATCAAACCTTGCAGGCAGATTCTTTACTGTCTGAACCACCAGGGAAGTCCATATGTACTGCCTGTGTGATTCCAACTATTAATATAAAGCCTTTATTTTTAATTGTGGTAAAATACACATAACAAAATTTATCATCTTAACCAATTTTAAGCCTTCATTTCAGTGGTATTAAGTATATTTACATTATTATGTAACCAAGACTGCCATCCATCTTCCAGAACATTTTGCATTTTGTAAAACTGAACCTCTGTCCCTCTTCAACATTAACTCCCCACCCCTCTCTGTCCCCCACCCCTGGCAAACATCAGCCTACTTTCTGTCTCTATGAATTTGACTACATACCTCACAGAAGTGAGATCTTGCAATAGTTGCCCTTTTGTGACTGGCTTCTTTTACTTAGCATAATATTCTCAAGGCTGAACAACATCCCATTGTATGTATACACCACATTTTGCTTATGCATTCATCTGTTGATAAGCACTTGGATTGTTTCCATGTTTTAGCTATTGTTTGGGGTTTTGTTTTTTTTCCCTGACCAGGGATTGAACCCATGGACTCTGCAGTAAAAGCGCTGAGTCTTAACCACCAGACTGCCAAGGAATTCTCTATTTGTAATTTTTTGAGGCAGTGTACTCTTTTCCATGGCAGTTGCTCCTTTTTACATACCCATCACCTACCAACAGAGTACAAGTGTTCAAATTTCTACCCATTCTCACCAACATTTGTTCTTTTTTTTTTTTGGTAGTGGCCATCCTAATGTGTGTAAGGTATATATAGCATTTTTGAAATGACAAAATTTCAGAAATGGATTAGTGGCTGCCAGTGGTAGGGACAGGGGTTGGTATGATTATAAACATTAGGGATCCTTGTACTAGAACTGTTCAGTAACTTTTATCGTAGTGGCTACATGTACACACAAGTGATAAAATTGTGCAGAACTTAATACACACATATAAGTGAGCACAAGCAAAACAGGAAATCTTAATAAAATGGGTAAACTATATCAAGGTCAACATCCTGTGATACTTGGCTGTGGTTATGATATTATTCTTCAATTTTGCAAGACATGACCAGTGGAGAAACTGGGTAAAGTGTGAAAAGGATCTCTCTATTATTTCTTACAACTGCATATGAATCTACAATTATCGTATAAAAATTTCAATTTATAAACACACATGCGCACACACATACGCACACACAGGGACCCATTGAGAGTATGAGAAGGCAAACCTCAGAATAAGGGGGAAAGATATTTATAACACATATACCTAAGGGGAAAACTAGCACCCAGAATATATTTTGCATGCAAAGAAGAAAAAAGACAACCCCTCAGAAAAAAGAGAAATGATGGGCTCAAGCACTACACAGAATGGCCGACAGACGCATGAAAACGTGTGGCAAAGATAGAGGCAGCAATCAATTCTATTCTACACTTCCTCTTACAGTGTAACTTTGACAGTCCTTCCAGTCAGAGGTGGAGCCTATGCTCCCTTCCCTGGAAACTGAGTGGCCTTTTATGACTATTTAGGTCAACAGAATAAGGCAGAAGTGATCTTATGGGACTTCCAAGACTAGCTCATAAAAGACAATGTATCTTCCACTTTATTTGATGGAATATTCTATCTTTAAGCCTTCAGCCACTCTGTAAGCAGTCTGTTGTGAGGAAGCTCCAGCAGGCAAACCTCATGGATATGCCCTGAGCTACACGAAGAGAGAGGGCTATCCCATCAGCCCCCAGCTCCAGTCCCCATCTGACCTCATCTGCCAGAGAAACCCCAAGCTAGTTCTTCCCAGCAGACCTCCTGAATTCCTGACCTCGGAAACTATGCAAGGTAGCAAAAGGATTGTTGGTTTTTGTTCATTTGTTTTTCTTCTTTTAAGAGCTTTTGTCTTTTATTTATGTATTTATTTAGGCTGCGAGGCATATAGAATCTTAGTTTCCTGACCAGGGATCCAACCCATGCCCCCTGCAATGGAAGCGTGCCGTGTGCTAAGTTGTGTCCAGCCCTCTGCAACCCCATGGACTGGAGCCCTCCAGGCTCCTCTGTCCATGGGATGTTCCAGGCAAGAATACTAGAGTGGGTTGCCATGCTCTCCTCCAAGGGATCTTCTGGTAGAAGCATGGAGTCTTTTTATTTTATTTTTTTTAGTTCTACCACTTTATTGCTACCAACCCATCTCCCTCCACCCTCGTGCACACATGCTCAGTCATGTAATCCCATGGACTTCAGCCCGCCAGACTCCTCTGTCCATGGACTTTTCCAGGCAAGAATACTGGAGTGGGTTGCCATTTCCTTCTCCAAGAAGCATGGAGTCTTAACCATGGGCCCACCAGAGAAGTCCAGACCATATTAATTATTTAAGCTTCAAAATTTGGGGATAATTTGTTACACAGTGATGAATAGTGGGACAAGCATGCATAACTTCATTAGTCATCAAGGAAGTGCAAATTCAAACCATAACAGATACCACTTCACATCCACCAGAATGACTAAAATAGAAAAGAGCAACAATACCAAGCATAGGGCAGGATATGGAGCAACTGGAAACTTCACACACAGCCTGAAGAAGTGTACATCGATACAACCACTGTGAAAACCTGTTTGACAGAAGATAGTACCTCGGTGCATGTGCGTGAGCTCAGTTGTGTCCGATTCCAACCCCGTGGACTGCAGCCCTCCAGGCTCCTCTGTCCCTGGGATTCTCCAGCCGAGAACACCAGAGCAGGTTGCCATGTGCTTTCTCCAGGGGACGTTCCTGACCCAGGGATCCAAGTCTCCTGCATCTCCTGCATTGGTAGGCAGATTCTTTACCAATGAGCCGCCATACCTACACTTGCCTGGAAAATTCCATGGGCAGAGGAGTCTGGCAGGCTACAGTCCATGGGGTCACAGAGTCAAACATGACTGAGCACATGCGCGCGCGCGCACACACACACACACACTCATACCCCTGAACATAAGCAGCTCTTTGACCCAATCATTCCACCCCCAGCAGATATACGCACACATATATGTACAAGAATACTGGGAGTTCCCTAGTGGCTTAGTGATTAGGATTCATCCCACCATACAACATCCAAAAAAGCAGGCAGAGCTAATCTCTGTCATTAGAAGTCAGGATAGAAGTCACCTTTGGAGAGAAAGAGGGGAGTATCAGAGAGAGGACACAGGAGGCCCCTGGCAATGCACCATTTCTTGACCGGGATGCTTGTTGTGTGGATGTGTTCGCTTTGTGATGATTCACTTATGAGTTGTGCATTTTTTAAAATATATATTGTACTTCAATAATAGTTCAAGAATAAATTGTCTCAGTGGGTGCATACATGTGTCCAAATTTATCAAATTGTGCTTTTTTTTTTTTTGCTGCCCAGCACAACATGTGGGGTCTTAGCTCCCCAATGAGGGATCAAACCTGTGTCCCCTGCAGTAGAAGTCTTAACTGCTAGACCACCAGGAGTCTTACTTGCTAGACCACCAGGAAAGTCCCACAGTGTGCATTTTTAATCAGCACAGTTTATGGTCAGTTACACCTCAATAAAG